GTACATAATTGTATTATTTATTTATTATTTTTTTAATGATTTTAATAAAATTGAAAAAAAATAAATTGCGAGAAAAAAAATTGCAATATCAAATGGGAGAAAAACAACTTAAAATATTGACACATACGACGCAAACTACACTCTCCAAAGTGAAGATGATTTACAACGTATGCTACACCAATTTAATATAACCGCCAGAAAATTTAACATGTTAATTTCCCCAAAAAAGACAAAATGCAAGGATACAATAGCAAATTTACTCAGATGTAAATTGGAGCTGATTGTTCAGATAATAGAACAAGTGATGGAGTTTAAATATCTAGACATCACATTATCTAGCTACGAAAAGCTCGAATCCGAAGTTGAAGATCAAGTGAATAGAGCAAACAGAGCCGCAGGCTGCCTAATTGAAACAATACGGAGAAATAAAAATATCGGGATATCACAGATATGATCAGGCGTTCTTGTTTTCTCACTCACGCTCAGATAGCCGTCGCCATTTACAGATGGTTTCTTTATATGGACGAGTTATACCTACATCCTATTTCACAGACGTTTTTTTTTTCTTTTCAGATTTAATGCTGTTCCAGTTGCTTCAATATCAATATTTAAAAATGTCTCTTGAAAATGATGAAAAAAAATTGTGGAACTTTTTCACAAAATTGGATGAGGGGTGAAGTGCGAGATGCTCTTTATGCCCAAAAAAATTATTGATTAGCAACCGTTCAACGAATTAAGGATTAAGAATCGATATTTATAACTATTCCCAAGAAAAAGAATGCCAGACAGTGTAGCGACTATCGACTTATCAGTTTAATGAGTCACACGCTCAAAATTTTTATGAAAATATTGCATTGTCGCATATATAAACTTTGTGAGGGGATAACTGGTGATGAGCCGTTTGGTTTCCGAAACGGTATGGGTACTCGAGAAGCTCTTTTTTGAATGCGAATACTCTTACAAAAGAGCATTGAGTTTAGGAAAAATATTTACGTATGTTTTATAGATTTCGAAAAAGCCTTTGATAGAGTACCACATACACTACTATTTCAATGCTTGGACTCAGTTGGACTGGACACGTATGACATTAGATTGCTCAAAAATCTTTACTACAATCAGACCGCTTGTGTTAAGGTGGACCAAGAGGTTTCAGCTAAAGTTTCTATTAAGCGTGGTGTCAGACAGGGATGTGTTATGTCACCGATGTTGTTTAATGCCTACATTGAACCAGTTTTTGAAATAGCGTTAAATAATCGCCTCGAAGGTGTTAAGATCGGTGGTGAAATTATTAACACATCAGATAGCCGATGACACCGCAATAATGGCAGATAGTCTAGAATCTTCAAACCCTATTGAATGCTGTAAACAACGAATGCACTGAAAAGGGCTTAACAATCAACGCAAAAAAAAAACAAAATGGATGGTGGTCGGAAAAATTAATATCAAAGACTCGAAAGGGTGGAACACTTTAGATATCTGGGTAGCTGGATTGACTGCAGGGTTGAAAGTGACGAGGAAATTTCGACCAGAATAGAACTCGCACGGAAAAAATTTAATAACTGGCGTTCTGTATTATGCAGTAGAAGTCTGTCGTTGACCACACGTCTAAGAGTATTGAAGTGCTACGTCTGGTCCACTTTGTTCTATGGATGTGAAACCTGGACAACAAAAAAAAATCTTAACAAATTAGAAGCGTTTGAGTTATGGTGTTACCGTCGCATACTCAGAATCCCGTGGACAGCACACATATCTAACGAACGTGTACTAGAGACCGTGCACAAAGAGCGAGCATTGATCATCATCATCAAAATGAGAAAGGTCCAATACTTCGGTCATATAATGAGAGGACCTAAATATCGCTTACTCCGGTTAATCATTCAGGGCAAAATCGAAGGAAAACGTTGGGTCGGAAGAAAACAACTGTCCTGGCTGCGTAACATTAGACAATGGACAGGTCGAACGGTCGAGGAACTGTTTCATCTAGCTGCCGACCGAGAATCATTTCATCAGCTTGTCAATATGACGATAGCCAACGCTTGAATACAAGCACGGCACACAAAAAAGAAGAACCGTTCAACACCAGGCTTAAAAATTCATATGAAAAAGATACACTGTATCAACGTCAACGTCAGTTCTTCAAGCTCCAGCACCAGCACCAAGATAATCAGGAAGTAGTTCCTAGCAAAAAGTCGAAGTCAAAGACTATTGATTCCTACTTTGAAAGTGGAAATTCTATGGAAGGTATGGTTACTAGGGTGGTTTGCAAAGATGGTTTTAGCTTGAGTTCATTTTATACCTCACCTGACTTAAAAAAAATTGGATTTCAATTGCCAACTTCTCCGAACACCATAAGAGCGATAATTTACAGGTATGCAGAGAAAGTCCAAGCAAATCTTATGAACGAATTTACTAGTTTAAAACAAAATAGGGGCAAATGTTCTTGTTGATTTTCGACGAGTGGATCTCCCAAAAAAATCACAGATATATAAATCTCAATTTGCATTTGCGCCATGCAGAACATTTTAATCAAGGTATGATCAAAATTCACGGCTCGTGCACCGCTGAATACTGCATTGAATTAGTGACAGAACTGTTAAAAATTTTTGGTTTAATGATTGAATCCGACACCATTGGGACCACAACCGAGGGCGCAGCCGTTATTGCGTAAGTTGGCAAGCTCATGTCTTGCTATCAACAACTGTGCTATGCACATGGAATTCAGTTGGCTGTAGTAGACGTGCTGTATAAAAAGAAATCTCAAAGAGAAGTAGAACAAGCAGCAATAGACGACACTGATGAATATGAAGAGGAGCATGAAGATATGGAGACATAGATGAATGAAGGATTGGTAATAACAATTGAACCAACATCGCGAGCCATGTTGAATTGATTCCTAGTTGTCGTTAAACCGTTCAAAAAATCACATACCAAAGACAATATGTTCTTGCAAAAATATGTCAAGGAAGAAAAAGGCAAATAATTAGGTTTGATTCTTGACTGTCACACCAGGTGGAACAGTTTGCTCAGTATACTGGAACGTTTCAACAACCTAAAAGTTTGCATCGATAAAGCGTTGATAGGCTTTGATTCTGCGATAAAATTATCTGCTATCGAATGGTCAATGATCAATGAGTTGATCGCCACGCTGCAAACGGTGAAACTGACTGTAGAATCTCTTTGCAGAAGAGAGTTCACTTTGATAACGGCCGACACAACCATGAAATTTGTCTTGGACAAACTAAATAGCCAAAACTCTATCCTCAAGGCCGAGATATCGGAAGCACTACGCAACAGAATCGCGGAACGGCGCCTCTATGAAATCACAGGTGCATTAGTGTCCTTACAAAATCCAAAAAGGTATAATAAAGGACTAAACAATCTTGGCTATTTCCCAATATTATTATGGAACCAGTGCAAGAGGAAATAATGGAAGTAGAAGATGGGCCAGCTAATCCGGAGCCCGTGAATTTTACTTTAGAACAAGAACTTGAGATTTAACTGAAACGAGAGAGAGAGAGAGAAAACTTTATAACCAAAAAAAACTGATTCTCAAAAAGATTACGAAAAGATTTTTTGAAAAAGGAAATGACCGTTTATGAGTCTGAAGGAGTGAAAGGTGATCATTTGTCCATGGTTTATACTATTTGATGACCTTAAAACCGACCAGCATAGAGGCCGAAAGGGTTTCTCCGCAACCGGCTATATGTGCAGTTCTGTGGGAAGTAGGTTAGGCTATCAGACGCTAGATAAAATATATTTTTTAAGGTCTCACTTCCAAATACATACTGATTTTTATCATGAGATCCAAAAAAAAACGGGTTCTCAGTAAGCCAGGGAAGAAAAACATATTACTTAACTTATGTCAGCTAAAAATTGCCATCAATGAAATTTGCTTCAAATGAACTAGTCTTCTAAAATTTAATTCGTGATAATTCTCAGTTGATACAAGCAAAGCCTTTATTTCGCTTCCATGGCTTACTGAAAACAACTTTTTTTTGGAATCTCCTGATAATTGTAGCATTTGTCATAGCCATTTTAAGTTAAAGAGAGGTAAGATTGATTGCCAATTGCGACTGATTATATGTTCTTATCTGATACCTAAGATAATTTTTATTTTATTAGTTTGTACTAAAAAAATTAATAAACAAAAAAAACATTAAAATCGTGTTTTTATTCTGATTCCACATTTTGCTGGATCCGCTCTGAATCCAGTTGGATTCAGGTAAATTTTGCAAAAATACAGCTGGACTGAAAATGCTGCTGGATTGCAATCACTAGTGAAGAATTATTTATTAATATATTAAAATATGAAATTCCATTCCATATTTTAATAATTCTTCACTAATTCCCTATAAAATTACCTTTCAGTAATATTTCAGTTCTTTCCATTTTAATTTATTGAAGAGATGGAAGAAAAACATGAAGGGAAGTATGACAGTTAAAGATGTTGTAGAAACATGTTTCCTGTGGAATAAAATCGATGTCTCTTGCATTTTTTCACAAAAATATGTCTTGAAAATAGCTGTTCCATTATCGGTGCTGGGTCACAATCAAATATTCTATAGAAAATTGTTTTCTCTCATTATTCCAATTTTTCCTCAATATTAATCAATTCAGCCATCAGATTTTTTTGGTTAATATATTCTTCTTTTTATTTTTAACTTGCATTTTGCAATAATAAGCCTTATATCTGTTGTATTAATGCAAGCTCGTATAAAAAAACCAATGTCTATTATACCTGCACATTAAATACTAACTTTAATAATAGTTGGTGTGTTGACAACATTAAAAAAAATAGTAGTTACCTGTAATCCTAAACATCAAGAAAATCAATTGAACTTGGGAAAAATAAATTGAAAATATTTTACTAATAACGAACTAAAAGTATGAATTATAAATTGAGCCTGTTGTTAAAAAGTCCTAGTATTTTTGTTTTTTTTTAATATTAATTTGATTTTTAAATATCAATTAAACAACAAATATATCATGCACATGCATACCTTTTCCCCTCCCTTGACCAGGAGGAGTTAAAGGAGGTCCAAGCACATTACACTGAGCATTCAAGGTGTCAATACTAGACACTGAAGATGAAGGTGGAATAATCGCACCTCCCCTATTATTATTGTTGTTATTTAGACTGATGCTCTCTTCACAAGGAACGGATGTTCGAGCTGCCCTCGAGCGCCCTGGCCTTGGTGACAAACCAGTCTTGACTTGATGGTGATGGTCTGGTACCCATGAGTCCCAGTGGAGATCAAATGTATCGTTGCAATCCTTTTCGCCTCTTTTAAGTTTACCTGTAGAAGCAAAAATATATAAATTTTAGGGTAATAATAGTTAATGTTGGACAATGATATTTTACAGGGATCCAAAAAGGGCAGATCATAGCCCAACAAACAAAAAATTAAAATGAAATTTGTTTCAGGTTTCAGGTTCGTTTTATTGCAAGCAGGATCTACCAGTGGATTTGTTTATGGAGCAGAGCTCACGTTTTTGGCAAAGAAAAATACTCAGGACTACCACGACAAAATAGATGGACTGACCTTTGAAGATTGGTTCGAAAATAACTTAATGCCAAAATTTGCCAGAAAAAACTGTTGTGGTAATGGACAATGCCTCCTATCAGAGCAGAGAGTCAGAACAAATTCCCAACAGTTCAACACTTAAAAAAGATATTCAAGAATGGCTTCTGTCAAAGGACCTATTTTTTGAAGAAGACTACCTAAAATGCGAGTTACTTGATGTAGTCAAGGCCTTCAAAGCAAAATATGACAGGTACATAATAGAGGATTTTTAAAGAAGCTGAAATGCGAAATTTAATTACAGCAGTGTAGCAGGTCATTACGCCAGAGAAATGGAAAAACTATGTAAACCACGTAATAGCAACAGAAAAAAAATGTGGGAAATTGACAATTTATTGAATGATATCGAACCAATTATTATAAATGTGATGCAGTTTCATCATTTTTTGGCATGGCTTTGTTATATTCACAAATTTTTTAGAAGAAAGAATGTTTAAAATCAATATAGACTGTTAAATTTCCATTCCATTTGAGTCTCTCATCAATCATCATTCTCCTACACATGTTTAAAGATTTACTTTTTACCAGGAAGACTTGTGAGAAAACTGAAATGCTTGAAATGCACTGCCTAGTTGGCAATTATAGTAAAATAATATATCAAAGTATGCAATTAGTGACCTCTAGTAAGGAAATGTGGAGTCAGTATAGATAGCAATTAAAGTAAGCTGTTAATCTGTAGCTGTAGTGGAATATAAATATTCCTAACATCGCCTGATAGTTTTTGTAGCTTTGGTTTACAGCTTACTTTATTCGCTATTGACACTGACTTCATTTTTTCTTGTTAGAGGGCACTAACATATTTGAGTCGTCAGAGATATGATCCCTAAAAATCATATGAACAAGCTGAATTTTGCTGAGAATGTTAATTTTGGGACCTCAAAAAAGATGCAAATAAGTTTACCACTTCTACTTCCTCCTAAAACCGCCCCTCCTGCGAGAGAAACATGGAAAAAATCAATTTACTAAGAATCTGTACATTGTAGAAAAAATGTTATAAATAAAATGTGTAGCTGAGATAATTTTGAACAAAAATGTTTATTAGCATCTTTTATAGAGAATGCATCATTCTCTTAGAAACAACACTTGAAACGGCTCATACGAAATGAATTTTAAATAAAATTTCTATGGTAAAAATTAGATATTTTTTGATAAGGCTTCATGAAATGCTTTCACGAAGACGGGTTGGGTGGAATTTGTACCTGAAGTTGTGTAGTTTCAAACATACTTTCGTAATTGAAAAGAAGGTTTTGAAAGGGAGTTTTTTATACGTTTTGGATCATTTATAATGTGAAATTTTAAATTCAAAATTTTTGAGCATACTTTAAATACCCCATATTTATTGCCAAAACTCAAAAACCTAAATTTCATGCTATACATTTTGACTGACATTCAAAATCATTAGTCTCATCAAGTGTTGTTTCTAAGAGAATGATTCATTCAACCAAAAAGTACCAAAAATCATTTTTGTTCAATCATATAGGTTTTTGGTAAATAATTGTTTTCCGTTTCTTTGGGGGGTAAACCTTTTTGCATCTTTTTTGGCAAAAAATGAACATTCTCAGCAAAATTCAGCTTGTTTGTATGATTTTTAGAGGTTCAGTGGCATTTTTCATCTCTGACGACTAGAGTATAATAGCATGCTTTGGTACATTATTTTCCAATCCAGTTCAGTCGTCTCACAAGTTATCCTCATAAAAGTTAAAACTTGGAACACATGTACGAGAATTACGACAGACTTAAATAGTAATGCAACAGTTTAGTTATTTTGTTTCATGTTATTACTAGACCAAAGGAATTTTTACTTCCTACAATAGATAAACAGTAATAAAGTCCAATTTAAAGTTAAAAAGGTAATAAAAATTATTTTTTCTGTTTATGTGGTATTATTTCCATCCAACATTAAAAAACTAGAATATTCCAGCTCCAAAAAGATTTTATTCTTTACTTACCTACATATCTTTTCAAATTGTGTAAAGCCCTACACAATTTATTTAATTCTTCAGGTTTGGAACCTTTATCATTTAGAATAACTTTTAATTCATGATCCGACTTCTCTTGAAGTTCTTCAACTGAAGCGATCCTTTGACACAGAACAAGTATGCTTGATTTATCTAAACCAACCACTTGTAACCACTGTGTCAGTGAGGGTATATGTTCTTCACAACCTTTTTTCAATTTTAATTTTATCACTAGCTGTTCTGAGAACATTGTAATAAGCTTGCCCTAAAAAAAATTGTGTTAGAACTAACAATATCAATAAAAAAGTAAGATTTAAAAAGTCTTTATCTATGTTTGGGCCTGGGTAAATGTTCAATCTCTGGGTATCGTCAAGTGCTAGATGTAATTTGCATGAATCCCCTGTCAAGTACATAAGGTAAGTTACTGTGATGTTTTCTCTCATATTCTTGAAAACAAGAGATATGTGAATGTGAAATAAAAATGTCATTTAAGAAGGCAGTTTCTGATACTACAGTGAAGAGAGAAAACCATACATTATTTTTGCATAATTTTGTTTGCCAGCTTTTTCAGGCTTAGCGACAATATAATATATTATATAGTAACTGTTTTTTTCTGAAACTGTGGCCATCTCAATTATGTATATTAAAAAAAGACACATAACACACTGTTCCATGTGACATCCAGTTTTTGTTAATGGGTTAAATGAGAATTTCTATTAAAATTTGATAGTTCTCAATTTCTTTGAACAATTTAAATACCATGAATGATCCAGGTAGATGTTTATAAAGAAAAAAATATTCAAGGTCAAATGTCAAAAATCAATTTATTTCAAATTTCTTATGATTTATGTACTGCTATCAATTTATATGTATAAAACAAGTAGGTGAATTATATTTTGAAATGATTATTAATTAATATGAAGTTAATAAAACAATATTAATTAAATAATTTAATTGGCCATTATATATCTTCCTTTGAAATTTGAAATAACATTTATACTCCATTGAGAATTATAACAAAAAGAAAACAGGCATATCTATTATTTAGGACATAGTTTAAGAACTACACATGGAAGATAAGTTCTTCATAGAAATAAACTTTCTGTGAAGCCATATCAATATGATTTATCAGTGAATTTAAATCAGCATGAAAATGGCAATGTAATTTATAATATTCTCATGTTTAATGTTATAAATTAGTACATATTAAAACATTGTTTTGTTTACAAACAATTGTTTTGACCACAAGTTCTTTATAGACACACTTTTTTCATAATAAACATTGATCTTTAAAATCAGACTAGTATCTTGCAAAACAACTAAAGTGAGGAGCTTTTTAAAGATCAGATTAAAGTTTCTGTATTTGTATTATGACTAACTTAATTTTGGTATCTATACACATATGGCATAATATTTTTTGACAATAAAACAAATATAGTAAGTATAATTCTCCCAAGTATTAAACAGTAAAGGTAAAAACATCTGAATCAATGAATACACTATTGGGAAAGGCTGTTAGAGTATGTGAAACCATCAATTAAAATAACTTATTTATACAAGATTTACATATCAAAGCAACAGTTTGGCAAGAAACATTACCTCTAGTGTTCGTATTTCTTGTTGAGTTAGTTCTGCACTTGTAGCACATTGTGTTCTCAGTCCTTCTAAACGTTGAGCAGAAACATCAATCATAGATTGGATCATATGAAGGGTTTTTCGAACTTCTTGATCTGACCCCTCATCAGCCATTACAAATATCACAGTACTGTTACAACTTAATATTTACAATTATCAAAACAATATTTACATATCAAATATACTTTTTTACAAATTACATTTAACTTTCTGCGTTTTCTGTCAATCATCTTTCACCAATTTCGAGGTTTGTTCATTTTACATCACAAAAATATTCTGTTTTGTATTTACTCTTGATGTTTGACATATAGTTTCTTTCCCTGTCTAAAATTGACAGTATGACAGTTTTTCAGATTTTCCTGACTTATGTGTATAGATAGTTGCATATATTGTGATATAAAAAGTTTAAATTGTTTTTGGCGAATGGATTCAGTGTCCGCAGTCATATAAACCCAAACGTGGGCTACAAAATAATAAACAATATGCTGTGCCTGGGCTGTGGTCCGAGTGGTCGCTGGAAGCAGAAATGTGCAGCTATCATACCCAAATAGCTGCACCTTCGTTCTAAAAATCCTTAATCCGATTGTACTAACCCCTGGCCCAATTCTGAAGGCCCTCAGACTCTCACTGCTACCTTCCAATTCTGCAGTACAAATCACAATCACCAAATACACGACCAAGATATCCAAAGATACATTTGACCTGAACTCCGAGTAGAATCAAAAAGTATCACCTTTTCCATCTCCCTACAGTGTGGGATAAGCAACTACACTGAGGAACACCCAGGCGATATACAAGCGTTGCTGTCACTGCTACCAGAGAAAACCGATAAAAAGTCCGCAAATTTCGATTTGTGAGATACTGTGATCAAGGGATGTATGGCTACGCGGATGTAGTTTCGAACGGTGCCTTCGCGAATAAGGCGAACTCACGAGGAGTGAAAAGCCTTAGCTGGACTTTAAGCCGAACAAAAAGAACTTTCCAACTCTTGGGACGGTAATGGTAGAAAATGGAAAAAAACAATAAACAACCTAACGGTCATATCTTATGTCGAGGACACGGCAGTAGAAATGAGAATATAAACTGAGAAAGTATTGGGTGATAGGAAAGCGGTGATGAAGAAGCGGATGTCTTGATCTTGAAGCTCACTCAAGGGAAAAATGATACGGAAAGTGAAGAATTAACGTTGATGAGAGGCAATACCTAAGAAATATATGAAATATCAAGAAAATTATTACAGACAAAACAAAAGAATACCACAAAAGAATAACCACAAAGTTGGAAATAAAGAAGATGATCCAGAAGCCAATAACGTATGGAAGCGAGACATGAACTCTGTACCAGCGAGAAACGACAAAATGACTGGTACTGGAAAGACAGATACTGCGGACTATCTATGGACCTTGCAGGGAAGAGACAACAGGAGAATGGTTGGAACACAATGATGAACTCCAGACAGTAAATGGAGATGAATATATAGTACGCTACATTAAAGCAAACCGAATAAAGATGGGTGCGCTACGTGCTAAGATCGAGTGACGAAAGACTCCTGAACGCCACATTCTGGGAAAGGCCGATGGCAGAAGGTCAGTTGGTCGCCCAAGAAAGAGATGGAAGGACGCAGTAGCCAGTGATCAACGCAAATGGGAAATAGCTGCTCAGGACCGACAACAATGGAAGGAAATAGTAAACGCGACCAAGAATCACATAGAGTTGTCGAGCCAAATGATGATGATGATCCACAAGCTATACAAGGCAACAAGGTGAATTCATGTCAAGATGCAGTCGTATAAAGAAAAACCCAGTCAAAAAACACCAGTAAAAAAGAAAGAAATGGGGACACAAGCGAACGAAAGATATCGAGAAAGATATAGACTTAAGAAGACAGAGAATCGAGGGAAAAATATTGCCACCCTAGGAACACATATGACAAAGGAGGAGTTTGTAAAATATGCTGAAGAAGAATGGCCTAAAACACAATACAAAAGAAGTAAATCTTGATTATGATTCTATGCTATGCATCGTATGCGGCCATGGCAGTGGGCGGGACATTTAGCAATAAGAACTGACAATATGTGGTCCACTAGAATTACATTGTGGTATCCAAGAGGCGTCAAGAGACCAGGAAGACGTCCAAATTTAAGATTGGGCTATGACATAAGGAAACAAGCCGGTACGACATGACACAGAAAAGCGAATTTTAAGACAATCGTTGGCACAAATATAATGGCAACTATGATGGTATACAAGGCAAATATCGAACACAGTAATTAATTAAATCTTGCCCAAGTACTTTCGATCAATAGGTCATCCTCAGGGGCATTTCGTCAATTGTGGCCTATCCGACATGAGCAAAATGTCATACATGTAAATTTGTACATAACAATACAATACACAAACAAACACTTTAAATTTTTTATAACATGTTATATAGAGAAGCTACATGTTATATAGAAGCCGGAGACAGAATGACACCATGTCATGAAGCCACTGCTTGAGACACCCAAATGTAATTATAAACAATACTAATTTTGTTTCTTTGTTAAACACTAAAAAACTCATCAACTGAATATGGTCTTTAATAGATAGACTTTTGTCGATATCGAAGATGGGACTAGAACAATGAGAAATATGCCATTTTGATAGAAGATAAATTTAGTTTCTTCAAAACAGATCTTATTGCAAAGCAAGCTGAGGCTAGTTTTTTCCTTAAGGAGTCAGTATGCAAGGATCATTTAAGATCACTGTCGATAAGAATACCTAGAAATTTTACGGAATTAACGATACTGATTTGGCTCTCATTCAAAAGCAAAGGGTTGAATGACTCCTTTATAAGATAATGCTACTGTCTTATCCACGTTAAAGCCAAGCCTTGATTATAAGCAAATCAGCGGTTTTAATTGAATGAAGCGTTGAAATATTAGAGTTGCTCCAAGTAATACTGGTATCATTAGCAAATAGAAAAATTTTCCCTTTAATTTTCAAGAAAGTGATGTCATTAATGAAAAGTAAAAAATAATGAGACCTAATACTGAACCTTGCGGTACTCCACACCCAATATCTTTACAACTAGAGTCGGTGTCTTTTATTCTAACCAATTGTTTCCTACCTACCAAGTAAGTTTTGAACCAATTCAAAGACACCCCGAATTCCATAGAAAGTTAATTTTTTTAATAGAATGTCGTGATTTACGCATTCAAAGTCTTTGGAATAGTCGCAGAAATTATTATTAATTATTTCATAGGAGAATAAAAGGTCTAAAAATAGTTAAGCAAACTTCATTAAAGAAAAGGGAAAAAATAAAACAAAAGTCAACAATTTAAAATATAATTTCTTAAAAAAACAATTATAATTGTTAAATTTTTATTCAACAGGTTGTTGCTCCCCATTACTTTGATTTTCTTCGTGATTACTCTGTACCGTTTCAGCATTATCAGTTTGCTCTTTGTCCTGTACTTCCTTTTCGGTATTTTCTTCTATAAATTTTTCCTTAATTTTACTCCACCTTTCAAAACATATAACAAGTTCACAATGTTTAGTATATGGAAACAAGTCAACAGCTACGGCACTAGTGGGCACTAACGGATCACCAAGTACTTTCTTGGATTCTGATCTACCAAAATCGACGAAATTTTCAAAAGCTGCTGTAGGATTACACGAAACATAAACAACTTTCTGAATTTTTCCAATTTTTCGAATGTGCAGAATTCCTTGCTTATCTGTAACAAAGACATTATTATAAAGTTTATTTAAAATAAAACAACAGGGTTCAGTTATTTTCGAACATACATTACATGTAGCTCTTATGTAATTACAGAATATATAGTTTTAGGTTCCATGACTGTTAAAGTGAAGTTTTAATGACATTTGTAAATTTGTACATTGACACAATTGTCAAAATAATAGTGTAAGAAATAGCATTTTTCTTATAATATTCTTCATTGTGAACAATGAATATTACATCAATGAGAATTTGTCTTTGCTATATAAGCAAACAGTAGTGGTAAGAAAAATGTATATAGTGGTTGCCGCAAAGAGGGTTCCGTTTTTATTATGAAATGCCAGCTGAAAAGCAACTTCAAAATGATCATTCTAAACTATTTCATCTAAAAAGTGTGAACAATATAATAGCATCTATGAAAAACGAGAAGATCCTTCAGAAAATTTACTATTTCATTAGAAGATAATTTGAAGGAGACTTATTTTCATTCAGTTGGTGATTAATTACATATTTCACCTGGACAAATATGAAATCAATAACAAAAAAATACAGCCAACTGCAGCAATACATATCTGACATGCTATTTTGTTTTGGTACCCATAAAGTACTGGTCAATCTTAAGTTACTAATTTAACTCTGCATTGATGCCAATAAATAGGCGTATAAAAGAAAGATCGAGATATAAACAAATAAACTGTGAATTGTAGAACAAATGTAAAATATTTAAACAACGATCCAAGGGATGAAATGTAGGCATATAAACTTAAAAACTTTGGAAATTTAAGATAATGGTATATTTCATATAGACGTCTTTAATATCTATTGAAATGAAAACAAATAATACAGAAAGCTTCATAAATATTACTAAAACAGAGAAATTACAATATTTAGACCATGTAATAAGAGGTAGTGAATTTGAAAGGATGGTTTGAGTATATATCCTGTTAATAATTTAGAGCAGCAGTAGATAAGGTGAAATACATTATAACTGCAACAATTTTACAAAAGATATGATGGAAAGTAAAGTTTAAGCAATAAGGAAATTATACAATATAAAAAAGAATACAAGCAGTAACAATCTACAGATAAGAGCAGATAAATATTCCATCTGATCGATATATAACGGAACTTTAACAATTATAAAAACGCATGGCTTAAAATATTAAACAAAATGATTAGTTTCAAATGCAAACATTGCATATGTACACTTACGTAATCCAGCTCTTGGTGGGTCTAATACAGCAACAATATCTTTTCCTATAGATTTAAAACACACATTTCCCAATGTGTCTTCGGCTTTACCAACAAAAAATTCCGAATTTTGAATTTCATTAATAGCTGCATTTTCTCTGGCATCATCTATAGCTTGAGGTATTATTTCTATACCCAAAACTTGTTTGCATTTCTAAAACAAATAAATATTATATACTTCCAAAAACGATAGGATAATCATTTGTGGAAATAATAAAAAAGAAAACATTGTTAAAAAAAGAAAAGAAAGGAAAACAAATTGTGAAGATAATAAACATAATTTATACCTCAGTCTAGAAAAATAAATACGTGAAAAAAATATGACGGATATCTGACCTTTTAAGTCATAAGGTGATATAATTAATAAAACATACGTATGGAGGCACTATCAGATCGGCTCTATTTTTTTTATAAACAAAGGCCAAAGTACGAAAATGTGTTTCTTTGCCTAAATGAATGAATACCTATATTTTACGACGCAATTCATAAGTAAGCAATTTATGTAATTTGAACTAAGAAGTAGCCCTTCAAAGTGAAGATTTTCGCGCCGAATCTGCCAAGGGTGAGTGGTGTTGAAAAGTTTTCAATATCTCCGGTTGTAAAAAATGTAGAATCCTTCATTATTTTTTTAAACCGGAGTAACCCAACGAAATATTAAGAATTATATAATTGTTATTTCCCTGAAAAATCGGAAATACTGAAAAATTCACAATTTCTGTTGTAACGATGAGTCCAAGCCATCACCGTTAAACCAGCGTGCGCGCGAACCAACCCATGAAGTAGGAGTATATCGATAGTAGAAAGGGCAAAACTAATTACCAAGCTCCGCTATATAAACCGCAACATTTCCTCATAGGGGGGGAATCGACAGCTGTTGACTGAAGGTTCTCTTCTTCCCTACCCCGGCTTGTGGACGTGTTGAGTTCACAAGTTGTTCCGTCCCATACCGCCGTTACCCGAAGAGCGTGTTGATCTCTTCACTACCCATACTCTGAAGCAGTCGTGTTGAGACTGTCGAGGAGTGTCCTGTTAACCCGAATCACTTAGGGGCGTGTTGAGTTCCTTTCCTTTCTTTGTACCTATCGTCCGCTGTTATTAAATCGATACAACGTTCCCGTAAAATTTCAAATACACATTCGCTTGCCGATAAAACTAATTTCATATGACAAGGTCAAACTTAATTTGAATAAATAGGCCAGGTACTGAGAAGACTAAACCAAATTGTAAATATGTACATAAGATTTTTGTCAATTTAATTTAAGGAAGACAATAAAGTTTTATTTTTGTTTCGAACTCTGTCTCTGACTGTCTAAAAGCTACCCGGATAGTGACTCCTACGAGAGGATATCACACTGTTTTTAAAAATTTTACCATTCAAGTATTTTATTAGAAGTATTCCTCAAATTCCAGGCATTGCGCGTTTAGCCAACTTTCTTTCGCTGCTTTTGTTTCTTTTCTAATTCTGCAATTTAAGAACTTATACTGTCCACTGTCGTTCATATATCTTCAGCTTTCAGCAAGTAAGACCTTGCTGTGTTGGAGGGGCGCTTCAAGCTCAGTCGTGGTCGCTAAATCTGAAATGAACACGAGTACAAGCTAAGCATGACTTGACTCCGGGTATTAGGTGACATCCTGGTTTCATTAGCCTTTTCCCAGCATGAGCTTTGTCGGAAGTGATCTTGCATTCTAATGAAATACGAACGATCTTTACGAACAAGTTTAATAGAAACATTCCCAACAGTTTGTGTTGGGTTCGTAAATAATTGGTGGTAAGTGGTCGAAGTAAGAGATCTAAAATTGGCAAAAAAACATTAAATTTGTGATTCTGTAAACTCGAGGGAACAAAACAGATATGGTGAGAGATAAAAAGAAAAAGCTCATAAGAGCCTCTGCCCAAATAAAATTTAAAGACCTCAATTGCGGTCCTACAGGTGAAGCTTCAGCACAGTAAGGTTACTCGGGCACAACTTACTGTTGCTATGGGAAGATTCAATATAGTCTTCATACACGAGCCCTAGGTACATCAGAGGCAAATCTATGGTCATTAAATCAGGTAATCTATTAGCCTCTACTGGCATTCCTCAGCGAATTTTAACTTAAAGCTGAAGATTTGATTTGGAATTTATACCACGACATTTAAAAAATTTCAGGCTAGAAATGTGTCGTCCCTACACAAAATATTCGATATAGTTATTTTTTTCTACAACTTCAATTCAGTTTAAACGTAACAGGATTAATGTTAATAAAAATATTATTTGATACTGTTTGTTACCTTGGAAAAGCATAAACCTATAGTACCAGTACCACAGCACACATCGAGAACAGTTGAATCTTCTAATGGTTCAGACAATTCCATAGCCGTCTGATATAAAACTTCGGCTCCTTTAGAATTCACCTGGAAAAAAGCTTCTGGAGATATTTTAAATTTCAATCCTAAAATGGTCTCGTAGATATGAGTATCCCCCCAGAGATGTTCTGATGGAGTTATGTCATTATTGTGGTTTCTAGGTAAAAAATCAAAATTAAAAAAACGTTAAAGAAAAAACACATTATAGTGGTATTGCTGAGAGAAATATCCATGTGTAATTACATACAGTAATTTATACTTAATGGTAATACGATTGTATCTCCGTAAAGCATTTTTTAGCAGTTGGACTGTATTTATTAGTTATATAAAATAATTACAATATAATCGTCAGATGTTTGCTATCAGTTGAGGGTATATGTTGCTATCGGCATACTATTGGATGCATCCGATGTATTTTAAGCCCATCAAAAATCAGTAACTGCGATCGCTTGAGGAAAGCTACTACATTGGCTGCAAAAAAGCCATTCCAAGATGTTATAGAAAACTGTACATATCAAAATGGGACGATGGTGCAGAACTATTATAGAGTTCTAAGATAAGAACAAGAAGTTGTTATCGCTTTTGGGTGAAAAAAGGAATCAAAACAATGAACGCATACAACTGAAAACATAGACTTCAATACATTCTTGCAGAAAAACTATGGGTCTGTTAAGAAAACTTGGTGATGGTACAAAACTAATAAACCAGACAAGCTCATTAACTTAGCTGTCAAATCAGAGAGCTGTCAGGACAGTGAACTTAAGCAGGAACCTATTCCGTAAAGCACATACTATTAAAGTTAAAAAACAACTTAAACTTCTTAAAAGGGAAACACACGACATAAACAGTCTCTTAGAGTTTTAGCATGGAAGAGGTTGAAACCGCAATCAAAGATTTAAAAATAAAAAATTTATTTAAAATCTTTATAAAAGGTATATAATAAAATGCCCAAACGGGCTATCACAAAGATATTGCAAAACGTTTTCGGATTATTAAATCCATCATCAGTGCAAACCTGAAAGTAAATAACCACTTTAATTAAAAGAACGTTGAATTTAAAATGTTGACTAAGGTTAAAGAACATTGTGGTTGATACTTACGAAGTATACATGCTATGAGCCACCAAAATATATGGGTGAAAACCCTTTAAATAATATAAATTTACATTTGATTTACATTATATGTTGTTACAAATTATGATGTTTAAGTTACCGTTGGAATTGGTAACATGGCGACGTATGACCCTACATAGGTAAAATGGTCCTGAGACGAAGTGTCTTCGAGGACCTGTTGATAACAACCATAGATAAATAATATAATAGTAGAAATAGATAGGCAACTCAATGTATAAATTTCGTTCATTAGGCCCCTTGCGGCTGGGGTCAATACTAATCATCTTTTGGCGGCAAATTCGAATGAACACCCCTTACATACATACCCTTTAGCGCCTCTTGTGGGCTATTTCGTTACTAATTAAAATTTATTGGAAAATAAGGATATAAGATGCACAATTTTTTCTAGATATACGTATATTTATTTGTTGTTTAAGATAAAACAGTTAAAAAATAATTACATAATATTTATTACACATATTTGCAGAAGTTAAATACTATTATTTTTTGCTTTCTGACAACTTACTATCATTCTTTTTGTAATTTTTCCATGATTTGTACACAACGAACAATACAATAATTCACTATGTTTAGTTTTGTTACTAGCACAACACAAAAATTCTTTGCTACAATAGGTAACTCAAAATAAACTTTAAAAATTAAGTAACCAAATTTAAATTAAAATTACTAAGAATAAATGCAAACGAAAGTTAAAGATAATAAAATAAAATTGAAAACTTGTAAACAAACGGAAGATCTGTCATTAATTTGGATTGACAGAATTGACATTGCTTCGTTTGATTATGTTATTTGGTTTATGATTGGTTAAAGTCTTCGTGAGAGAGATAGGCTGTCATTTCTCTTTATTAACTCGCTGGGGTCAAAGTGATGGGGGAATGAACCAAGTTGTTCATATAAGATTCCAGGCCATGATAACAACTGATCAAAATGACATTGTTGACATGTTAGAACGAATGTTGTGTCAGAGCAGTCAGTGTAACTTACGGTAGTTGTCTAAAAATGACAGATGTCAGCATTATTTAAAATTGAAAAAATTAAAATTATAATAATGTAACAGTATCAACCATCAATTTTGTAGTCTGTAATGTGAATTAATCATATGGCTATATTAGAAACATTGAAAATTTGGTTTTTAAAAAATTTAATGTGGGTAAACTGGGGTTTATGAAATTTTGTAGGATCAGTAGGCAACCAACTATACATGTGTATGGATTTATTTGTTCTAAGCTAAAAAATGTTATCAAAAGGCCCTGTATGTTGTGTAACATTTGGTACCTAGAAAATGATAAAAAATGGCAAAAAGGCACATGTAGGAAGATGGGTCCTATAAGATTTATTAATGAGGAATGTTGTAGTAAAAAGTGTGTTTAGATCTGTTGTTGAGCTGAAATTTAAATATGGTAATAATGTGATTATGGTGTGATGTTGATGTAGTAATTGAAACTTAAGCAAGGAGGGCCCTCTATGTCAAAAAACAACATTTGGCACCTGATAAAAATAAAAGATTTTTCCAAGTTATAAGTACATGAACATGAATTGCTGGTTATGTGTGAAAATTAAAGATGGTAGATTGTTTTTGTGTGTGGACACGTATGCCAGAACAACAGAAAACTGATGGCTGAAAGGTGGTTTGGTATGGTATTGTTAATACCTTGCTCAAATTCTAACTCAAGAAAAAACAAGAGGCCCTATATGTTAAAAGGAACATTTGGTGCCTGAGAAATATAAAATAAAAAAGGGATGAGTTATAAATTTGAGTTTAGGTTGGTATGTGAGTTTAATAGGCTTTTGGGGTATATTGTGAGAACATATGAAACTGTAAGAGTAGTTATGTTAAGTTGGATCTGTCAAATTTACTAAAGAAGTGTGATGTTTAATTGTTATTGTGAAGAGAAAGGTGGAAAAACTACAAGAGGCCGAAGACCCCAGAGAAACGAGAACCAAAGTTCGAGACTCCCCTGAGGGAGAGTGGATGGGTAAAAGGAGTTATAATAGAAAAGAAAAATACAGTTAGAAAGGTGAAGATATGTGGTTAAGTAGGTGAAGGTGTATGTTAATGGAAAATTGTTTTTGGAGAGAGAGTGGAATAATCTGCTCTGAATTTATTTTGTTGAAAAGGAGCATTGAGAATGTTGGGTGCCTAGACAGAAGTGAGGAGAGAAGGGGAGTTGGATATATTAAACAAAGTTAGAGAGGGCTAAGGACTATTAGTGGGTGATAAGTGGAGGACGAAAATTTAAATACTAATGAAGAAGTAAAGTTGGAGAGTGGGTTATGAAAATAGTTGACAGTGACAATTGACATTTTTTTGGGATATTATGAATAAGTGAGACATCTTCTGGGATATTGAGAGTGTGGTTGTGTTCTTTAAGATGTTGAGAGAAACTGGAAGTATTTTCTCTTTTTATGTGCTCTAAAGAGCGTGAAGACAATGATCTACATGTTCTTCCTATGTAGGTGGCATCACAATCAGAACATTTTAATCTATAAACACCACTACGGTTCATATAATTGATGGGGTCTTTAGAATTGGATATATACTGACCCAAGTTATTAGGTACTTTAAAAGAAACATGAATATTTTGAGAGAAACATGTATACCTCGTAAGTATTAACCACAATGTTCTTTAACCTTAGTCAACATTTTAAATTCAACGTTCTTTTAATTAAAGTGGTTATTTACTTTCAGGTTTGCACTGATGATGGATTTAATAATCCGAAAACGTTTTGCAATATCTTTGTGATAGCCCGTTTGGGCATTTTATTATATACCTTTTATAAAGGATTTTAAATAAATTTTTTGTGATATATGGTATACAGCCAGCTACAGGAAAAAATAGGTAAATCTCCCGGATTTAATTGACTACTTAACGAATTTTTCATTAATATGAGATCCAAAGCAAAGGAGTGGTTGCGTAAGTCGTTTTCAAAAGTTCTTCATAGTTGTAATGTCCTTAAGGCATTTAAAAAGGCAAACATAACCGCCATTTTAAAACCTGCCAAATTAAATGTCAAATCAGAGAACTTCAGACTCTGTGCTGTGCCAATCAACTTTTAGAGAAATGAATTATAACAGAATCGCTGAATATATACCTCAGAGTCTTGTAACATTATTGCTACAAATTGGTTGCATTTCTCCTGTAGTGATCCTTTTCCAAGTTAATATGCCACTTTTCTAACTTGGCTGCATCGTACTGAAGATGACCAATAGTCAGAAATACGTATATACGGTTAACGGTTGCCTTCCATCTTATACACATATTTTATTGGCTATGCCCATACCGTTTACCTTTATTTTACTATCAACTCGCATTAACCTTTTTCTTGTCGAATCGCTAGATAAAGATAGTAAAACCACCACAATCAAATTAAACGACAGAAAATGCTTAATTTTGGAAGAACTTATTTGACATCATATTTTATCCAAGGCCTGATTCAAGACGACAGCTGCTTGGTTGCTTTCCACGTACACTTCTCTCTCTAATTCCACTTTTAACAATTAGATTTATTTTCCTAATCAAATGAGTGGTTACTTACTTTTTAACTATTTTCTGATAATATAACGATGTTACATTTGCATCCTTTCCATCTCCTTTGCTGAAATATTCAACGAGGTCTTGTTTGAACTTGCTTAATTTTTCTTCGTCCAAGTCTTGCGGATGTATTCCGACTACTAACATTAGTTGGTTTGGTGCTGATCTCGCCATTAATTGGCGAAAGTGACCTGTATGTATTTCTGGATTAAAAACGTTTAGATCGGAAGATCTCACAAAATTCTGAAATACCTACAATAATACTCATTTTATAAAAAAGAAATTTAGCGAAAAAGTTAACTACGTCTATTTTGTTACGTTAAAGATACCTAAATGATACACCATCGCACGTCTTCGAGAAAACCAAGCTGTGTAAATCCTACAATTTATCAAACCAGAAACTTACGAACTAACCAAATTAATACGGGAAAATTATCCCTACTTCTAAGCTTTGGCCTATCTCTCCCTCCACTTCCCACTGGTTGTGTCATAAAGAATCGCCTGTATGAGTTGCTCTGATACGATTTTGCTATGCAACTGTAATAGCTAAAATCCTAAATGACTTACTAAAATAAGTTTGATAAAATTGGGGTCTGCTGCCTTTGAAACGACGAACTCATTTGGAAGAATAAAACTTGAAAGGGGAAACAAATTGGAATAACAATGATTCAGAATTGTACTGCCAACTCAAATTATCATAAATTTGTAGCCGGTTTCGCGGATTACATATCGTCTCCACTCAATGGTCAAGTAACAGATCGGCGAAACAGGCCGAGTTGACATTGATTCCGTAGTGTATTTACAAAGTATTCGTTACTGATACGTGTTAGTGTTATCTGTTATTTAAACAGACTACACCCACAACTGCTTCTTCAAACAATCACCATCGAACAACCAGCACCTAGGGAGATGGATCAGCCAATGAGAGATTGCAGAATAAATGGACTGCAACTGATCATCGGCTGTGACGCAAATGCGCACTACCTGATCTAAGGCAGCACAAACAACAATGAAAGAGGTAAGCCATACATATTTAGACATACTAAATGTAGGAAACAAACTAATTTTCGTAACTTCACGATAAAAAGAAGTTCATAACAGTGACCTCTACTCACGTGGCTAGAACTGTTACAAAATACCATGTGTCAGATGGCGTATTTTGTTTAAACGATCGACGCGTCTGTTTTGAAATAACAGCCAATGATAACAAGGAAACTTATCATAACCCTTATAAAACAGACTGGGAAGCATATCAACCAGACCCAGAATATTGTTTAGAGGGTTAAAGGGATGAGAAGGCATACACTGTACCTAGGCACCCCTCTCTCTCTCTCTTTACTGCCTTCCCTCCTTGTGGAGTATTGGGCGTTCTCACGTTTCTTGGAAAAACGTGAAAGATGGCTGATTGACTGGATCAGAGCATCCTCTTCTATTTTATTCTTTTCTAAATATTCTAATATCCGAAAGTTGTGACTGAGTGTAATACAGAATTCAAAATGGCACAAAGATCCACCTAATCTGGCTAAATTTAATGCAAAAGGCTCTGACTACAGTTACAGAATACACTTAAAATGTAGGCTTAACATAAGCCCCTCCCTCAAGTCCAAAAATCATGAAATTTACCGGGTGGATCGGGAGGAGTGTAAGGGGATTTCGAACTAAGACTGAATGGTCAAATCTAAATCTAGTACTAGAAAACTTGCACACCAGAATTATTAGATGAAGACATAATCTCATCATAAATGATGGTTTATAACAGACGGTATCCCAAAAAAGATACGTTTCATTACCACAATTTACTTCCAATGACCTAAAATGCAAAATGAATTTTAAAACCGACTCATAAAAAAACATAATAAATCGACAAATAAATCCGCTAAATTAGACAACAACAAATAATATTTAAAATATATTTAAATTAGCTTTAAATAGAATACAAATAATACAGACATAGTTGCAACTTAAACCAACGAGGCAAAAAATAAAAATAGGGAACAAATAGAAAAATTAACAATAACTTTCTAGTAAGAACCACAGAATTAAAAATAATTGAATCTAAAATTAGGAATATAACAGGTGCTATCAAGACCAACCTATAAAATTGTAGACAAAGGCACACAAAATTTGAAAGTAAGACCCAATCAATGTGACAATGATGATGAAAACTTTTCAAAACTTACTTTAACAGCAACTTTCATTGATTCAGGTATGTGGATAAGACCATCTACTGGTCCAACGCCAGTAGTACCATTAACATAACTTCCTATCCTAAATCCTACAGTCGGCAGATTTGTTTCCTCATCAATTCCAACTGTGAATTCACATTTATTCCTATATCTACAAAAAATGCATTAAACATGTTTTATAATTTGTGAAAGATGTATAATAATTTATACTTGCCCTGTATTCTCATTAGAATATCTTATATCGCTTAAACTACAAGGTAAACCATCATACAATGCTTTTTGGTTCTTGATCCACTTTTGAAGATCTGGATTATTGTGTGCAAGAGCATTCCCCATTCTTTTCAACAAGTTTTTGATATTAGTTTGTTTCAATTCCAACTAGAATTACAAAGAAAATTTAATTTATACAAAATAGACGCAATATTTATAGCTAAGCAGAGTCTCCATGAGCAATCAAATGGCAATGTCGATAAGACAAAATCACTGAACATGGTGATTGCCAACGCATACTTTGTACATAAAGGCACCTGGAAATCACCAGGCGTACTTAAAGTAAATATGATAGATCATGTTATCATAGACTCAAGAACCCAATCAAATGTAATAAATGTCCACACCAGAAGAGCAAATGTGAATTTTCATCATTACCTGGTTTCGGTAGAAAACATCATGAAAGAAGCAGCTGAAAAAGGAGTAGGCATAGAAGGTAATCCAGGAAGAGCAAGAACAAATAACTTATTTGCTGAATAATGTGAGATTGTAACAGGAGCACAGAATCCGACAAGCAAAGGAGGAATATAAACAACTACATAAAGAAGAAAAAATATCCACTGAAGAAAGAAAAGAGAAAATATGAACAAACAAATTCAAGAACTACAAGAATTAAGTTAGCCAATGTTGAAAGTTTTACCACAAACTGAAGAAAAGAATTGAAACAGAGAACAAAGATATTTATGTAAAGCTAAGGAGATACTAAGAAGATGGATAGAACATTTTAAGGACAACAGAGAAAAGAGTCCAAGAATTCTCAGGAAGTGATCAGAGATTTTTTTAATTTGTGTTATTAAGACAGATGCAATCAGCAGAAATTTTTAGTATTAGTCAGAAAGGGCATCAGAGATGAAAACAATTTCTACAATATACAATGGTGAGCAAAAACTTAGGTCACATTTGAATTTTGTGTTTTGAGGTAGTAATTTGTTTACAGTTGTATCAGTTTTTTAGTAGGTACTGATTTATTGCTTTCTGAGAATTGATGTATCATTTGTTATTGTTACCTGTTAGTTCAGTCACATGCTGTCATCATATTTATGGCATTTACAACTTTTTTCTGAAATTTCTGCATTCACTCTGGTCGAACCTTTACAGTAATGATGAGAAGGTTACAAACGATCCGTTCACAAAGATCTGATCTTTTTGAAGTCCCGTGATTGATACAATCACATTCTGTGACCCTATCGTTTGAATGACCCTATGAATCATGCCTATGAATGACGCTGTCTGGTGTTTACAAAACGAACTGTGTGATCGTGACATGTTGCTTGGTCAAATTAATGTATGAACCGTGAACCGCAAAAGATCGCTCAAATGAAGCCTGGAAGGAAGGAATGACCTGGAAGAACCGGGTCACTGAAACGAACCAGGTCTTCCCATCACTACTTTACAGTTAATTGCCAATTTTTCAATTAAGAATTGTTTTTCTTTGTGTAAAACCTATCAGTAGTACAGTGTATTATTGATGGTGTATATCTGATGAATCATAATGACTTTCGATTCTATATTATAAATAAACATAAATAGAAAACAGAAAATGACAGGCTTTTATGAATTTTCCAGTTGTATATCTTACCTGTTCCTCGTAGTGTACATTCCAATAGGGGATTGTAGAATTTTTTAACCTCTCTTCTTGGCTACCATCTAGTTTTTGTTTCTTTACTTGTTGTTCTTCGGAATCCTCCTTTCTCTTCTTTACTAAAGGATCAGGTGCAGGTTTAGCTCTCTAAAATACACAGCTGTAGTAAGAAATACATAATAAAGGGGTATTATAAGATAACAAACATAACAACATTATTTTAAATAAATTTACATATATTGGCATTGTGTCAAAGTACTTGTAAAACCCTAGAACTAGCTTGTGTATACTCTGTTTCATATACCTTCTGCTCAACAGTACTATAAACTACTTTTTTTATAATCTTCATGGCCTCCTGATATGTAACACATTATTGTACTGTCTTTCTTCTTCTTTAAGTTCCATCTTCTATCGAAGGTTGGAAATCATCATGGCTATGCGGACTCTATTGACTGCCGCTCTAAAAAGTTCTGCACTACTGCATTCAAACCATTCCCTTAAGTTCTTAAGCCAGGATATTCTTCGTCTTCCCACATTTCGCTTTCCTCGGATTTTGCCCTGCATAATAAGTTGTAATAATGCATATTTTTGCGCTCTCATCACATGTCCCAAGTACTCAAGTTTTCGTCTTTTAATTGTTAATATTATTTCCGCCTCATTTCCTATCCTTCTAATTACTTCCATGTTTGACATTCTTTGAATCCATGATATTCGTAGGATTCTTCTGTAACACCAAAATTCAAAGCTTCCAGACCATAAAGAAGAGTAGAGAACACATAACATCGAAGCATTCTCAGGCGTAGTTCTAACCTTATATCCCGACAACAAAGAAACTTTTTAAGTTTAATAAATGATGTATGTGCTATTTCAATACGTGTCTTAATTTCTTTGGTTTGGTCTACATCTGATGTTATCCATGTTCCTAAATATTTATAGTTATTAACCTTCTCAATTGCAGTATCTTCAATAGTCAATTGGATATTTGCATGTGCAGATTTAGTCATGATCATGCATTTAGTTTTCTTTAAATTTATCTTCAGTCCGTACTCATGACAGCGTTCATTAAGGCGTTGCATTAGGTTCTGTAAATCATTGTTGTTATCCGTAATTATTACTGTATCGTTTGCAAAACGTAAGTTATTCAAAACTTCTCCATTAATAGGTATACCTTCTATTGAGTCTGAGAGCGCTTCTTGAAATACCGCTTCACTGTAGACATTGAAAAGTAGTGGGGACAGCACGCAACCTTGGCGGACTCCTCTCTGTATTTTGATATTTTCGGTGTACTGGCTGTCAACTCTTACCTTGGCAGTTTGATTCCAATATAAATTAGATATAATTTTCAGATCACGACTATCAATATTTTTGCTTTTTAATATATCTACAAGCTTTTTATGTTGAACTTTATCAAATGCCTTTTCAAAGTCTACAAAACATAAGTACATATCCTGATTCATGTCCATGCATCTCTGAGCCAGCACATTCAAGCCGAACAAAGCATCTCTTGTACTCATACCATTTCTAAAGCCAAATTGTGTGTCACTAATCTCATATTCAAGAGTTTTATCAATTCTGCTGTGAATTATTTTCAAAAATGTTTTAAGTGTGTGACTCATTAAAGCTATTGTTCTGTGGTCTGAGCAAGTTGTTGAACTTGGTTTTTTGGGAATTGCTACAAAGGTTGATTGCAGCCATTGTCTGGGGATTGTGGCAGTCTGATATATTAGATTAAAGAGTTCAACCATTACATCAATAACATCTTCATCGATGAGTTTTAATAATTCGATGGCACCTCATCTGGTCCAGTAGCTTTACCCTCTTTTGTGTTTTTGATGGCATAGATGACTTCTTCTCTTAATATTGGTGGTCCAGTATCCTCGGTGATTTCTAATGACAGTTCTTCTCTTTCATCATTAAATAGTTGTTGAATGTAATTGGTCCAGTGACATAATCTCTCCTTCATATCAGTAATAATATCCCCTTTATCATTTTTAAGGATATTCATTTTTGTGCGCTTTCTAGAACCTGTCATTTCTTTGATTTTTTTGTGTAAATTAAAGCTATCGTACTTTTTATCAAGATCTTCTATTTCCTTGCATCTATAGGAGAGCCACCTCTCTTTTGCCTCTCGAATTTTCTTTCTGATGTTTCTCTGAATTTCTTTGTATTTATTCAGGTCTTTTGCTTTATGTTTTCTTCGTTCTTCCATGAGTTCAAGAATTTCTACTGTCATCCAAGGTTTTGTTTTTTCTTTAAGTGGATTGAGGGTTTCTTTTCCAACTGACACAAGGGCATGTTGAATTTTTCCCCATTTTTGGTCAATAGTTAGAGTTTCTGCATTATCTTCTTTGACTTTCCTTAAGCTCTTGTTTATTTTAAATTTGGTTTCCACATATGTGTTATCTTGTTTGAGATGACCTTATTGTACTGTAGCTAAGTCTATTTTGTGTCTATAGTGACACACCATGGGTTAGCATTTCTGTTCTTTTGTCTTTATTTTTTCTCACTTTTTTGGACCTCACAACAGGCACTGATTGTGGTGTCTGTGGACATGGAATTGATGTATGGGATTCTTTTTCAGTCACAAAAAAAAGAATGATTCTCCCCACCCAAATATAAACTCTAAATATTTTGGGCTACTGAAGAATGGAAATAGTATCTATCACTGCATAAACTGTCTTTTTGAATTTAGTATAGGGGCTTGTCTGGTCTCCAGTAACATATAAATGGAGAAAGAACTTACTTTCAATTTCGAATTGTTTAAAAAATATATGCCTAGAGAAAATGATTCCAAGGATTTTTGGCACCTATCATAGGCAAGGTAGGTGTAATTCTAATATAAATTCACCAAGCACAAGTTGTGAAATAAATTTAAAACAGTCTTTAAGGATGTAAAGAATCACACACAACTATTATTTCATAAAAAATATTTTTGTCAATCTACTGAATAAGCTCTATACCAAAAAATTATTCCACTTATCTATTCATCATATGTGTCATTACCATAGAAGATAATATGAATAGACTGAGCACTGTAATACAGGCATCTCTTTCTAATGGGTGATGATAGATACTGACTGCTGATATGTTATGCCTGGTGAAAATCCTAATGAATAAAAAAATATAAAACCTGTAGTATGTAGCTTATTTTACCTAAAAACAATATTTTAATAATACACCTAATATGCAGCCTAAAAGATCTAAAAGAAACTTACCATAACCTGCAACTCTTTTCCTTTCCATTTATATTTAGAGAGGACTTGCATTGCATTGTCTCTATCTTCATTATTTCTAAAGCAAACAAAGGCAAAGGAACTATTTTTTCTAGTTGTTTTAATTTTATTGGAATTTAGTTTCAATTTATCATTTAGAAGCTTCCGAAATTCCTACAATATTATAAAATAATTATAATCAATGCAAATTGATTCTATTTCAAGGAATTTTCCTAATTAAAAATATGGAGTTTTTAAATATTACCTATGTATAATGTCACTGTTGGTACAAAAATTAAAAAATTGTATAAAAGTATTGTTTTTTCGCCCTATAATTTTCTTATGCCTCTAATGTTTGAAGAAATCATAATAAGGAGATTTTAAATTTTGAACTAAACACATTTTTCAACAAGTTGTTCTGATTTTGTTGAAAAAGGTTTTACAGGCACAGTGGTGAATAATATATTATGTTAAGTAATCAATAAAGGTGAAACAATGATATTTGCATTAGGTAGCGTAAAAAATGTATATACCTTATAAAAACCCATTTGTAACATTTTCAAATAAATATTACTGATAAATATATAGCAAACCTAAGATAGATTACAATAAGCAACGAAACAATAGGTAACTTAACTCACATTTATGCCATAATATTTGGGCATATTTTTAACTTCAATTTTAAAATTTTCCGAAGAAAAATCTCTATCCAAATAAGCGTATGGATTTTCTTCTTTAACTGTATCATTTTCACTTTTTAATGAAGATTCCATAGTTAATATTAAATGAAACAAATATTGTAATTGTAACTTGCAATCCTAAATATTTATAAAATCAACACATTTGTATTTGTATAGGTTAGAACCATATACCTTTTCTTCTTCTTTTCGTAGTAACCATTTCACCTCTTAGAAATTGGCACTTAATCAGTTTATTACTTTTGTAATTATATAAATATAATATAAAATTGAAATCAAATCAACATTTATTTTAATGCTAAAGCACACTTTCTTTTCTAGTGTTGTTCAATGAAAGTTAGGTGTTAAATTCAATTCGAATTTAAATTGAATTGAATTAAATTCAATTTAAACCAAGGATCTTAAAAGTTTTTTGACATTTGTAACTGTTGTGTTCTCTGATCCATGTGACTTTAAAATAGAAAAATTAGGACACGAAAGACATGTGACACATGTTCTACCTACATGTTAAGTTCATGCCGTTAAGTGAGGTCTAAAGTTAGAATTTATAAGATATTATTTAATTCATAAATAAAAATATTCTTTCTGGTGAATTTTTAGTGATTAGAAGGCATAAATGAAGCTTGCAGACGATTATGAACATATCAATTTATTAATAAATACATACATAACTCTTAGTTTCAAAAAGCCCGACAGGTCAGTAGACTTACGGAAATTTGTTGAAGAAGTACATTCTATATTTCAAACTAATGACATAAAATATTCCAAAACAGAAATCCTCACAACATGGAAAGATTTAGTAGAAGATTATTATTACTACAAGAAAAACTTTACAAGTGAATATGCGAGTAACGCATGGAATTTCTTTGCCTTAATGGATCACTGTTTTGACCCCAAAGATACATCTAAAAAGTTTAATTCTACTTTGACTTTTTACTTAATTGATTGTATGAGTAACCATAGAGATGTTATAGCGAAAAAAGGACTAACCTCAACTGTTTTATCTAGTGTTGAAAATGATTTCAAGTAAGTTTTGTAGTAGGTATATTTGAACATTAATTATTTTTTACTTTCTTGGCATCATTATATAATATCACAATAACTCTATTAACAGAAAAAAAAAAGAAAACTAATAATATTTTAGTTTTCAGATCTGAAGTTATATCAAAATAGTATTTGTAGATTTACAATGCTATGTTGTATATAATATGGCAAATTACACTATGACATAATATTGCAAAATATTGGATAATAGTTTCAATTCTAATTATTTCATTTTTATTTCAGAGAATTGGGAAACAATGACATAAATCAGAATGATATTTATATTCAATGGGAAATTTTGAAACAGTCATTTAGAGAGAGCAGATTACTTATAAAACAAAGATGTAGAAATATTAAGTTAAATGAGTTTTATGATGCCATGAGAATATTTTACCAAAGTCCATCATTTCATGCTTCCAAAAACTATAATGGTCCTGTAAAGAGAAGAAATGGTGCAGATCACTGTGAAGGTATTAGTAAAAGAATGGATGTAAAAAGTGGGGATGTTAATAAATCTTTCAATACAGAACTGAAAGAGCAGCTACTTATCTATATTAAAAGTAAAAAGAATCAACTTGGATTCAACAAAGAACTGACACCATCATTTTTGAATTACATAGTTGAAGAATTTAAAAAAATTGGCTATAATTTTACCGCAGAAGCTATTAATAATGAGTGGAATGATCTGTATTACAGGTAGCTTTGCTTTATTAGTTTTTCTAAATTAGAAATTTATCCTGTCTCTTACAATATTTCTTCGGTATAGCAGTGTTCAATAAAATATTACAAAAGAATATATTCTAAGAGTTTAAAATTTAGGTACTGTTTGTATGTTATTTCACAATGTGTTCCAAATTTTCAGTAAAAAATATAAAGTATTACTGATATTTTTTTGCTTTCATTGATTTTATATATATTTGTTTATACCCATGGGACCATATTTTGGTAAATGATTTATAATTTATATTGTTTTAGGTATGAATTATTAAAATCAAGTGAAAAACCATATAACTGGAAATTTTTCTCAGAATTGAATGATATATGTAACCATACTGAATCAGTGGTAGTAGAGAATATAGAAAACAGTGCAGACTTAGAAAAACTTACAGGCGTGGATGATACTTATTCAAAGAAATACTCCGATATACCTGAATTAAGAGAATTGATGCTCGAAAATAATTTGTCAGGAGAAGAAGTGACATATTTACTAAACTCGATTGAAACTTGAATTGTTAGTGATAAGTTTTCAGGAAAAGAATGTCACAGTAGAAGAAATTTAGTTTGCGTAAATAAATTTTGAAAGATTTGTTTTTCATAGGGCAATGCCCAGAGTTTGTTTACATTGAAAATAAAGCAATTGATTTATAATATGTGTTTATTTTCTGTGTATCTTGTAAACTTTGTGAGGAGAATATTTAGTTTAACTTTTAAATCAACTAATTTAATAGTGATCCAAACCTAGTATTTCAAAAAACACAAGCATTCAAATGCATGAACGGACAATCAGTTAAAACTCTTCCCCTGAAGATAAATGAGAGACAGTAACAAACAAAAAACGAATAAGAAGTCCTGAAAAGGAAAACAACATAAGACCACTATTGGCTGCAAAAACCACTCAAAAAAACTCATTTAGTTCAAGTAAATAATCAACAAAACACACTCAGTAAATTTACAAAATGTATCAAGTGGCCCCAAAATCATCATCATCAGTGGCATTACAGCCATTCATTATGAGCCAAAGCCTTCTTCAGAACAATCTTCCATTCATCCCTGTCTCTAGCAACTCTTCTCCATGGATTTTAGATCATCCTCTATGTTATCTTGATATCTAAGTTTTGGTCTTCCCACTGGTCCTCTTCAGTCATTTATTTGTCTGATCGTTGCATCTTCATCTCGCCTAATTACATGTCCTATCCATCAAAGGTGTGCTAATGTAATACATTTTACAACGCCAGGTTCCCCAAAACTTCTATATAACTCAAAGTTTTCTTTGGCTTACAGAAGAATGTCAAGATATTTATGACTTATATGACTTCGGGTTTACGCAGTGTTATATCTGGATTTCTTCTGGAAAATTCTCTTACTCAAACTTTTCCAGCATCCTTTTTCTGGTTATTAAAATGATCAAACCAATTTTTGATTGCTAAATTATAAGCTAACTCTAATACGTCCCGTCTCGTTAGTCCAAAGAACCTTGACTCTAGCATTTTTAAATGTTCAACCAATTGTCTTTCTATTTCTATAGGAAAAGTAGGTTTAAACCTGGCTACTTGTTTTTAAATTTTTATTTTTTTGCAAGGCATTCCTTCTTAGGGTTGCTTTTGAGTATATTGGAAATTTGATTCCTTGAGCCACCCCATTTCACCCTTATTAGCAGATTTTCTTGTCTTTACCATATAATCTATATCCCATGATTGCCTAATATTGGTCATCCTTGCGTAATTTCGCGGCATAATCTGTAAAAAAAAGAAATGTTATCCATTTGTAAGGCACATTATTTTTATTTGTAGAGAACAAAATGACATACTATGCCATTTTGTTCTCTACACACCTGTCATTTTATCCCACATGAACTTAATTTAAAAAAATACAATTTTTGACAAAACAATAACTTATTTACTAAATTTAAAATAGGAAAACAATAAACTTACCGGTTTATCGCACTAAAAACACAGCAGGTTTTAATATTCCGCGCCAAAAATAAAATAATTGAACGTGCTCCCACTCTGACCGATGAAGCGGAACTGAATGCAAACTAGCATGACTGCAATGACAGGTACTCATCATGGTACATGTATTCATTGTATCATGGGTACCCACGCCACAATTAGATATTTGTTTCTGAGCACTCTGAACAACGAATTTTGTACATTTGTCACTATGTCATTTTGTACACCCTTCCCTATTTAATAACATTGAGCCACACGTTGAGATTCTTTATAATTAACTGCAAATGAGAGCTGTAGACCCTGCAAGAATTTAAATATTTATACAAAAATTTAAAAAGAAAATTCAAACTTACTTTACTCTTGCGGTACACATTATCCATTTGTAGATGCCACCAAATTAATATCCAAGTTAGACTATATTGACTAGGACTGACTTTGGAACGGCGACTTGTCTTGTGCCATTGTTTGAGGTCTTTGTTGAAAACAGTGTTAGAAATTTATTTTTCTGAGTCCATGCACAACTCCTATGATAACAGTAAAAGCAGGGAGGTCCTTATTTTAAACTCTAAAGAGGATAAAAACATTTCTGCGGAATACGATGTCATAAGAACGACTCAATCCTCAATAGTATATACTATCTATTGAAAATCAATTAATATGCAATTGCCACAAATTTAATGATAATTGACCATTTTGTAAGCCAGAGATTCGATACGCTGATTTACAAGGAGATCTTTAAAATAAACATATTACTTAAGTATTAACTCGACACATTCTTTGGCTGTTCATAATTTCGTATTTGCCGCTCAAAATAATAGTGCCCTACCGATAATTTTACTCACTAGCCGCCACTGGAAAAACCTACTGTAAGGCATTCATAATTACAAATGTATACCAAAGAAATTAAAGCAAGAGTAGGAAAGGCAAGAAATGCTTTTAACAGTTACAGATGGTTGCATTTCATTTCGAGTCTCTCACCATTCTCCTTCTCATGTTTCAACTTTTAAGTATCATCAGGAAGACTTTGCGACAGGACCGAATTGAACCGACGCTGTCAGCTTGACGGGTAGGTACTTGAATTGATTTCTTCTTCCGATGTTAGTTTACTCTGGTTTTGTTCTTGGTAATAATGTCTTTAATTATTTTTACCATCTTTTGTTTGGCTGATTTTTCCCTTTTAGTAATCTTAATAGGTACATCTTCTAATCTGACATAAATAATCGAAGGTTTTAGTCAAATATATTTGTAGGTTTATTATATTCCAATATGCTTTCTCCGTAATTTATCTGGTTATGAATGTTGCGTCTATGGTAGACCTATAGTACACTTCTGACGATTCAAAAATCCTGGACTAGGCCTTTTAATCATTGATAGAGCTTCATCTCAAGATTTTCGAATTGTAAAATCTGCAATGAAAAAAGATGTAATTTTTTTGTCTACCGTCCAATAACACGTATGAGCTAAAGCAGTCTTCAGGAGTTTCGACTTACTGGGATGAGGAGGTGTTAAATTTTTGGGTGAACCATAATATCGAACGTATCGAACTACCTACTATCAACCGAGGAAGATTTGGGCAAATATTTACTCCGGTAAGCAATTGGGATATGGCTATTCAATCCAAATGCTATTCCGGATGCTACCTTTGCCCCTATTAGTTATCTGACACAACAACACATTGAAACAATCGCCGAAGATTTTGAAGAAAATCCAGTGATCGAACCTGAAATTGAACCAACTGGTAAAAAGGTTGCAAAAAAGTGACACAAAGTCATGTGACGGACTAAATGCAAGTTTTATTTCCAGTGGATTACACCGAAGTTAAAAGTATCAACAAAAAACGGCGACAGGCCATAATGCGAAAGCACAAGAACTTACCAGAGCTTTATATGTACAATCTAATAGCTCAGCAAAACCAAAGCTGAATTAAAAAAGAGAGTCATGGTACCTACTGTTTCTTGTATGATGAAGATAGATAGTGGCTGACATGCACAAGTGTCTTCGTTGTAATCGGTATACCCAAGAGAAATATATAGGATTAAAAAAGACATATTTGTATCTTCTCGATGTGTGTCAATGTGCTATACCTACTTATATGTACTTAATATAGTGATATTTTTTTTAATGTCAATATAAGGTTGTTTCCCTAAACTTTGTATTTGTTCTTGTGTAAGACAATGTATATATAGTTTTTATTTAATTCTTCGGTTTACAATTTACTTATTATTCACCTCAATTTTTATGTAAAATGAAACTAGTCTTATTTGCAAAAATATCAAAATTGGGAATAGTTTTGGATAGACCTGGAAATACAGTATAGCCCAAAATAAACAGTACTGAACTTGTAATTATTTTATTGTTTTAAAAAATACATATTATTGACACTTTATAACATGTTCGAAATAAGCTCCTCCTCTCTCAAGACAGACTACATACCGATATTCCAGATTTCTCGTAATGTTATGGAATAAAGGTTGTCTCAAGTCCGCGAAGAAGGCTCTAAAGGCGTCCTTTAACTCATTGATGGTTTGTGGTGCCTGTTTAAAAACGGTAGTTTTAGACATAACAAAAATGTATGCGACTGGAGATGTTAAGTCTGGAGAATGATCAAGATAGGAAAGTCAGTAAATCGTGAAATGAATTTGTTTAGAAAATGTCTCTGCAGAAATTGACGAACTGCGACAGCAGTATGGCAAGTTGCCCCATCCTGCTGGAAAAATTTTTCTCGACATACCATATTACGTGCACTACAAAATTGACGCCAGGGATAAGTCATGTTAAAATTTGTATGTACCTCTGTTGAATAAGTGTGACTTGCCTGCCATTTTCTTCGATAAAGTATGGACCAATGATTCCGTGTCCCGAAACTGCAAACCAGACACTCACTTTTACGCCATGTAAAGGAACTTATTGAACTTCATCTGGTCTGGCAAAGCCCAGAAATCAATTTGTGCGACGATATACACGACTAATAAAAATGTGCTTCGTCTGAAAACCATACATTTTAAAAAAAATCAGGATTTTTATACCGCAATGTAAGAAGTCTGGTACAATATTCCACTTAACTGTAATAATCCCTGGAATGTAATTGTTGATGTACCTGAATCACATACGAAAATTTTAAGCCAAGATGCAACGCTGTTCTTGTCTGGCTGGCTTTCGGATTTTCCAAGATTCGCTCAAACACACGTTCATGGTTATCGTTGTTGTTAACTGTCCTGGGACGTCCTGAGTTTCCTTTTCGTTTGTACAACACATTACCCGTATTTCTAAACTGTTCAACAACCTTCAAAATTATAGCATTACTTGGAGAACGTTTGATTCGGTATGAGCGAAAATAATGCTCCATAAGAAACACTTTCTTCTCTGTACTTAACACCATTTTTAACAATTAGGCCTTAATAATTAATTATGACAGCGTGCACAAAGAGACATCTATGTTTTAGTTTCAGTACTGTTTATTTTGGGCAATACTGTAATACATACATTGTTGAAAACTCGAGTGATCTATGAATAAAAGATTTTATAGTTTATAGTAGATATTTTAGATTGTGCTATATGCATTTTTGTTTCCTAGGTTTTGCAAAAAAAATCCACTAAATATTTTATATTTGCCTTGTAGTGTTTATTTAGAAGGTAGGTAATTCATTATAAAAAATATGTACCTAATAAAATATATTCATCTATCCAATATTGACAAAAGGCTATGATAATAAAAGTGAGAAATAATTTTATTTTATGTAACGTTATTGCTAAATTTTAAATTTGTAATTAAAAAATTGAAGTTTCTAAACAAATATAAAAAAACTTTGCAGCTGCCCTTTATAAAAACTACCTGAATAAAATATCAAAGCCCACCAAAGGAAAGTACAATTGTTAGATCTTTCTACCTAGATAAAGGCCACAATCATCTTCTTTACGATGACCTTGAAAGTTGTCGACCAATCAGATTTCGAAATTGGAGGGAATAACAAAAGTGCTTTCATCGTGAATTTTGTTAGGTAAATTGTCAAAGTTTGTAGACTTTTTCAGATTTAATTATTTTAAAAGTTCCTGAAAGTTGTAACAATTACCATTTTTAAAAACAATGGAGAATGTTGCTTCAAATTCTCAAGATTCTAATAAATGGGGAAGACTTATATCATGCATTCCCACCTTGAAGTCAGTTGGTAAGTTTTTTCGTTAGGAAAACATTTGAAATAAAAAACAATGTTATTCAATTTTATGTGAAATAATTACGGCAAATGTTTTATTTTTATTTTAATGTATTTTTAAATCATAACCTAAGCCAGAACTTTTATTAAATGTATTTGAATATAAATAATAAATATAAATACTGATTTATAATTATTTTATCAAAACAAATTATTACGATTATGATTAGGAGTATAATTATCAAGTCATTTAAGAGGAAGGTAAACTATTATAGATTATAGAAACTAAATTATTCTAATTTTCCAACTTCAAGTAATGGTTAGCAAATTTTTATACATTCTCAGGGAGCTTTTTCTAGATCCTCATCCACACTTTAGGAATTCATGAGCAGAGTAAATGAATACAGGTGAACAGCCCTTTGCTGAACTGTTAAATCCAGCATTTCTTTGTATGAAATATTTACTAACATGTTAATAAATATTGTCAAGTATACCCTAGACACTATTAGACAAAATTAGGTAGAGTTTGTGATATAATATGAAGAGATCTGTGGTATATCTGGAACCTCAAAGGAATCTTCTGTAAATATATGGCCTTGTCAGAAGATTACTTGTGTGGATTATTTTGGATATCTTCCATTATATTCTTTTCCTTCATATATTTTTTCATATTCCACAATCATTTCTATTTTTTCACTTGCTGTCTCTTTAGTTACTCTTTCTACTTATTTTTCAATTTTCTTGATTCTTTTACTTATTATGTTCCTCTATCTACAGAATATTTTTTTTTAATTCTGTTTAATTTTCCTTAAAATTACTTTTGTTTTTAATTTTATTAATGCCACTGTAAATAATTCATTCTTGGTTTGCTGTAACTTGTAGATAAGTTGAAAGATTGCTGATGAGTAGTTCCTTGCAAAGTGAACAAAATTAGGAACCTGTCCCTCATAGATTTGTCTGAACACTTTCTTCACTTTTGTGCAATTTTTGCATATTGATTTAATAATACCTTTGCTTGAGCTTAATGTAAGTAACATCCTGGTTTTGACTTACATAGGAAAATTTATGACGTATATGGGAAAAAATTTAAGCTGGGTTCATGTGATTTTATTTCATTTTTAAATAAAATTATAATCATAAATTTATTTTTCATAAAAAAATTGAAAAGGTAAAAAAATGGAACATGACAAACATTTTTGTGCAAAATTTACTTTAGTATCTTAATATGAGCATAAAATATTCCTTAAGACCTTGTTTAGTTCTATGGAAAGCCAAGACATCATACATAAAACTGTTTTGTTTTCAGCTATTAATAAGGATGCTTTCAAATTGGGAAGATCACTTAGTTGTGATATAATCATTAAAGAAAGCAACTTTAGTACAAATGCTCTGGTAGGAACTATTAGCAAAGAGCATTGTATTATCTTCAAGAACCCTTGCTCAACATATGCATATTTGCAAGACTTAAGTAAAAATGGCACTTATGTTAATGGCACAAAAGTAGAAAGAGGCAAACCTGTTTGTTTAAGAACAGGTGATAAAATAGCAATTGGACAAAGAATGAATAGTGGTAAGTATATTTTATACACATTCATTATTGTAGATTTGTTAAAAAGGATTTGCTCTTGAATTTTAGTAAGTCATAAGTAAGGAAGGACAATATATCTTAAGGCCATACTAAATGTTGTTTAAATTTTTCATTAATGTATCAAAATATCTAACTTTAGTAAAGAGCTTGTTCTTTGTTGAAGTGAAAAGGAAAAATTTGGAAGAAATGACATCAAACCATTCCATTCATTGATAGAAATACAGCCATTACTGATAGCCAGCAATTGGTTGGGCAACTCTTTGGCATGCAATTCATTTGCATTTTTGTTTGAATTTCCTTACTTTAAAGGTCTGGGATTAATAAAATACTTTATTGTTTTCCAACCGTTTTGGCAAATTACCATTATCAATAACCATTTTATTATTTATAATTTTGACTTCTATGATTTTATCATAGTTAAGTGCTCAAAGACCAGTAATTCAACATGAAAAAACTTTACACACTGCTGGTAACAAATACATTCACATTACATTTGCCAAAAAATGCTTTTGAGCTTTGCTTTAAAAAAAAACCAAAGTGGCTTTTTATGTCAATAATCAATATTTTGAAATGCCACAGGATTTTTGGGATATTTGCTGATTCGACTCTCTTGAAGACAGTAAAATGATAAACTAGATGCAAACATTTGTAAACTAGTAAAAATATTTACATCTGAAAACAGATCTGACTTAAAGAAGGTATCCCAATCAGATTTTATATCATATTTTGGTAGATCAACTATAAATATAGCATTTTGTAAAGTGCAAGAGAGATTATTAGAGAATTAGTTGTAAATCATAGATCATTGATTTTTACTATCTTACAAAGTATCTTTTCATCAAATCCAAATCAGTCACAGCTGTAGAGTCACAGTTGCGTACAATTGTCTAATATATTTAATTAAAATTATTATTTGTTGGTATATTAGACTTACAGAATTATTTTATAAAATATATATTATTAATAATAACAAATGTTTTTGGTTATTTAATCAATAAAATTCTAAAATTTACAATATAATGATGATTTCATTTTTCTGATTATTACACCATGTTAACGCCTATGAAAGATCGAGCATTTCAGTATGGGTTTCGTATTATTAGCTGTGTTAGGAAAATTTGAACTCCAAGGTTGATGTTCTGGAAATTTTAAATACATGTGACGCCACTTTGTATAAATCGTGACTTGCAAGTGTTTTACTTTGAAAAATGGTATATGTATTGATACTTTTTCAGATTTAATTGAACTTCAGGCCACCAGTGATCAATGAGTAATGTGTACTATTTTTGATTAGTTTATTTACTTATCTATTAATTAATATGTATCATTTGCTTATTTTGAACTATGTTTTAGAATAATCAGATAAATAGATGATAATCCAATTCTCAAAGTTATGTTGGATAGAATATGGGTATAATAATTATTATTAATTATGCTTAAAATGTGATTGACATTTATCACTGTAAAATTATTTACCTTTTGATAGTTGTAGTAGTTGCACTTCTTAGACTAATTCTATTTTCATATATAATTAAATTTTATGTACCTTTTCCATGTAGAAACAACTTTAATCTGTATTAGCTATTTTTCTTATACCCATTTTTAGAAATTCCTAAATGATTTAATCCTTTTTTATTCTCCATGTACTATGGAGATACTATGTACTATAATTTGTAATGTTATTTTAGTATATACATTCCAATCATTATTGCCAGAAGATTTACCAGATACATTGACACCACTCACACATTTAGAGAATACTCCAACATACACTGAAGTGTTGCCCATTTGGGGTCGTCTTTTGTCTTGTTTATTATTCCTGAATTCTTTTGGTAAGTATAGCCTTAAGTATAGATTTTATTAAAAGCACCATGGAATTAAAATTTATTGAATGTGGGAAATCATCTAGTAAACATTTATAATCAATAAGTTTTCTGTAATAATATTAGCATAGGTTAATAATATCTGGGATATGGGATCTAACATGTACACAGAAAGTTACAATAACAATGGTACAGCCACCATGTTTTTCTTCTATGTCTACTAAAGCTGTGTTATATTAAAATATTCAATATTTAGAACTACACCTGCTGGGATGTTGTTGAGATTGAGTCTCTTGTTGTTCATGCTAATCTGGATGAAGGAAAGCTCTTAGGTGAGACTAGTAACCTCATCATAATCATTCCCTTTGCTTTTATTCCTATGTGAGGTCTGCTTCCCTAATTGCATTTCTCCAAAATTTTCTATTCTGGGTCATACCAATACCATTCCCCTTCACTGACATGTCCTATCTAAGTGTCTCCCCAGGTCTTTGGTATTTTTCCCCTACTCTCCCCAGTATCTACAAATTAGTAATTCTTCGAAAGTTAAACGAAAGAGTTAACGAAAGTCCAGAATTGTTTGGCATCATAATGAATATTCATAATGGAAAAAAAATGTAAAAAATGCCATTTTGAGAATGAGAATTTTTAAACTTTATATGAGCCTTCTTTTTTTTTCGCATATGACACGTTTGAGTGTTTGTGTGAATTTGGTTATTTAGTAAATCTAACTATAGACTATAGACTACAATAAAGCGTTTGATAAAGTAAAACATGATCGACTCCTGGAAATTCTAAAAAATAAAAACCTAGATGAAAGAGATTTAAGGCTAATAACACACCTCTATTACAATCAGCGAGCAATAGTAAGAATCGAAAAAGAAACATCTGAAGAAATGGAAATAAAGAGAGGAGTCAGGCAAGGCTGCATTCTATCACCTCTATTATTTAACGCCTATTCTGAAGAGGTAATTTGAGAAACTCTGGAAGATGAAACAGTCGGCATAAGAGTAAATGGAGTCTTAATTAACAACATCAGATATGCAGATGATACAGTAATAATAGCCGATAGTTTACAAGACCTGGAAAGACTCATGAGCAAAATAGTCATGTGTAGTAGGGAGTACGGACTCTCTCTTAATGTCAAAAAGACGAAGTTTATGAAAATTTGTAAAAACAACTATAATACTAACGAAATCTTGATAGTAGAGGGCCAGCAGATCGAAAGAGTAAAAAAGTACACTTACCTAGGAACACTTATAACAGAAAATAATGACTACACGGCAGAAATCAAAGTCAGAATCGAAAAAGCACTTTCTCATTTTATAAAAATGAAAAAGGTCCTATGTGGCAAAGATCTAACATTAGCTCTTAAAGTACGCCTAACAAAATGTTACGTATACAGTGTACTATATTATGGAGTGGAATCATGGACGTTAAATCTAGATACCATGAGACGACTTAACGCATTTGAAATGTGGACCTATAGAAGAATTATGAGGGTTTCCTGGGTAGATAGAGTTACAAACAATGAAATACTGAGAAGAATAGACAAAGAGAAGGAAATTGAACTAACAATTAAAGAAAGAAAGCTACAGTATCTCGGACATGTGATGCGGGGCGATAAGTATGGCATCCTGCGACTCATAATGCAAGGAAAAATAGATGGCAGAAGAAGCATCGGAAGAAGACGAATTTCATGGCTGAAGAACCTGAGAGAATGGTTTGGATGCAGCTCAAAACAACTATTTAGAGCTACTGCCTCAAAAATTAAGATAACTATGATGATTGCCAACCTCCGTAGCGGAGATGGCACCTGAAGAAGAAGAAGTAAATCTAAATAACCATAGGAGATGCTATGTACTTGTCACCAGTCATGTTTGTCTATGACAAATGGATCTATATGCCTATTTTTTTCTTCTTGTTTTATGAGGGGGGGGTGGTCCAATTGTTCGAAATATACCTAACTCTCAGAAGGTGGGCATCGCCGTCAAGGCCAGAGACCTACCTGCTAAAAAAAACACCCTCCTCAACGATCAATTACCGGCTGGATCGCCCGGATTGGAACGCAAAATCGGCACGGCATTCACCCGATCTCTCATTCACGCACAATTCTCACGCATTCTAGCACTTTCTCGCTAACGACTGAATTCTTCTCTCTCCCTATTCCTCCCTGTTCATGTTCAATCTCGCCCATTCTCATTATGCCTTATCTGTTTGCTTGCTCCTGGGCACCCTGCCTCCTTTCGGGTCGCCTTTCTTTTTGTTCCTTTCTCTCCAATGTTCTCCTTACATATCTCTGAACTGCTCTCCACCGATCTGACGACCTAAGCATCTCTTCGACCAGTTCCGTGACTGATTGCACCCTACTTCCTAGCTCTCTCGCAAGCAGTCTCCTCTCACCTATCCATCTAGCACATACCAATAGAGTTTGTGAGACAGTGTGCGATATTTCACAATACAGGCATTTGTTATTTTATGCCTTTCCAAATCTGTAAAGGTATGCACTGAAGCAACCATGTCCTGTAAGCATCTGCGTCAGGAAGTAATCCAAACGCAGGTGCCCGCAATCCATCCATCTTCTCAGATTAGGAATCAACGACTTTGTCCACTGCGCCACCCTTGTCATCTCGTCCCATTCTTCTTGCCATACCATTATGGACCTCTCCCTTTCTTCTTTTTTTAAATGTTCTGTTGCTATGTCTTCATTTCTTCTCTCGTATGTTCTTCATCTTTTCTTCACTAGCACGTGCATCGGAATACACCCGGTGATAACACCCAAAGCCTCGGCAGAGACTGTTCTGTATGCACACGCCACCCTCAATAGACTCTTCGGGATTGCACGGGTGAGCTGTTTTCAGTACGCCTTTGTTAAAACTGCAGTACCCCAGACAGGCGCAGCGTACAGGACGATCGATTGCACAACAGAATAAAGGGCCCTCCTCATCTCAGTTTCGGACCCACCAATGTTGGGCATGATCCCCCCCCCAATGCGGCGGATCTCAGCGTAGCTCTTGAGTCACCGCTTTTACGTGTTCCTCCCACTTTCCATTTTGAGGCAGTCACCCCTAAATACCTCACGCATTTCTTTGGAACCACTCTCTTTAGTGTACATTCGAATGTTATCCCGTCCCTTTTCGTTGGTCCCTTGAGAATTATAGCCTCGGTCTTACCTGCAGCCAGTTCTAGCTCATGCATTTTCATCCATTCCTCGACTGGGTTGCATGTACGCTGTGCACCAAAGATAAGGTCCTCTCTGTCCCGCGCCACTACCAGCATAGCGAGGTCGTCCGCAAATGCGAAAGGCATTTGTATTGTTGGCTCACAACCCCATCATATGCCAAGTTCCACAGCGTGGGTCCTAGGATCGAGAAGGCACGACAAAAAGACAAACAGATCGATACTTGTCTTCCTCCTTTGGGAGTAGCACGAGCCTCGAGATCTTCCAATTTGCCGGAAATCCCTGATTTCAAGCAGTACATTCATGTGTTCCAAAAGCCACGTCGGCTCCATACTGCCAATGTGTTTCACTGCTTTTGGTGGTATTCCAGGTGGTATTCGGTGGAGTCCCGGAGCCTTTCGTGTCTTTAGGGCCCTCAACGCTTCGTTGAGTTCGTCTACGGTAAAAGGTACAGCAAGCTCAGCTTCGGCGTCCCACTGCACTCCATGCTAATGGCCGGGTAGAAACAGCTCTCGGGTAACCTCAAGCATCCTATCCAGTGGCATCTTATACAGAGAGTACAGCTTGAACTGTTTAGTTACGATTTTCTACCCCTGATCCCAAACGACCTCATCCAACTTGTCACACAGTTCTCTCCAGTGCCTCTTCTCGGCTCAGATCTTCCTGTTCAGTTCCTTTATTCACGCATTATATACCATATCCATTCTGCTAGCTTCGGTTACTTCTCGTATACCTCTTACCTTCGTAGCCTGTCTTCTGATGGCAATGCATTCCAACTTGGGATATCTGTCAGGTCTCGGTTTTGGTTTTTTAAAATCTACAAAAATATACATGTTGTCCCATTTAAATTAAATAAGTTGAGGGTATTTCCATTAACCAGTAAGTAGAGTAGTAATACAAAATATGTCATTTGATACGCTATGTGCCATTGTACTTATATGCAAAGTTTAGATATTTACTTAGTTCCATACTTTATCCCAACCCTGTATTATCATCTTTATATTTACTTCTTAATAAAATTAGTAGTGTGCAAAATATTTTCTTCATTCCAGATATTCATCAGGATAGATTTAAAGTTGGGAGATCTGAAAAATGTGATGTACCTATAAGCCGTACTAACCTGTGTCAGAAGTACAAAGATCTTTTTAGTAAAGAACATTTTATTATTTGTAAGGATTCCACAAGCAAAGTGGTGTATATTAAAGATATGAGTAAAAGCGGAACCTATTTAAATAATAGGCTCATAGGCAAACATAATATGAATATATTACAACACGATGACAAAATTTCCATTGGGCCTAAATTGGAAAGTAAGTTAAATTAATAGTTTCTACTCTTATTTGAAGCTTTCGTTAGATAGTGTTATTTTCTCTTAAACAATACTATCTTTTGAAAAGTGGTTCATATAACATAAAAAAACCCAAAATGAGTACATAAATTAGCTTTTCCCCGATTTCTATATGAAAAAATCTTTAAAAAATCTTGTTTTGTTTTTGTTTTCTTTTAATTTTTCTGTGCAATTAGCCAAAATTTTCTTTCCTTCTACACTAAACAGCATTAGAAAACTTAAAAATAATATATGAATGAAATTGGTAAAGTCGTTGTTAAATTATGTTGTGAGATAGGTAAATAGTGATTCATTTTTATATAAATATATTGAATCATTATTGTAATAACATTATTGTTTTATTTCAGTATTTATATATAAGTGTATGTATGAACACGATAGAAATTTTCTACCTCCGGAATTAAAAACAAGTTACGAGCCTTCAAATATACTCGGCAAAGGAGGAGCTGGAGAAGTAAGATTGGCTTATGAAAAAGTAACTAATATCGATATTTCATTGATTTTTTTTCTTACCAGCGACTTTTTTAGCATACTTGTAAAATGGTAGCTATCAAGAAAATCACCAAATCCCGCAGTACCGCTTCACAGATGTGCCAGCTGAACCATCCAACTAAAATTCATTCGGAAATAAATATTCTGAGAGCTTTGAAATATGTATGTATAGATTTTTTTAAATTTCGCTAAACCTATTTTGTTCTACTATTTAAATCCGCTTTTCTTATTTATTAGAAAATTTAAAGCTAATCAAGAAGCTTTGTTTGACCTTAGAGTCACCATAACTTCTAATTTGGCATATCATTGGTATTCAAGTTGTATATAAATATAATACCATATGAAAGGGGGAAATAAAAATCTTGATCCTTGCCATTTCTTTCTAATATGTCGCATTTCTGAAATATTGAGGGTGGTTCCTATTAAAATGAACATCGTGTATATATATTCGCTTTTTATACTCTTCCAATATCTTCTTCTTCTTAGCCTTCTATGATCCATGTTTGGACATAGGCCTCTCCCAACTTTTTCCATCGTTCTCTATCCTGAGCAACATACTTCCAATTTGTGCCGGCTATTCTTTTAATGTCATCAACCCATCTCATCTGTGGTCTTCCTCTTGGTCGTTTACTTTCGTAAGGTCTCCAATGTTGTATTGTGGTATTCCAACGTTGGTCTTTTTGTCTAACAGTGTGGCCCGCGAAGCTCCATTTAAGTTTGTCAATTTTTGTTGTTATGTCATCGACTTTTGTTTTTGATCTTACCCAGTCGTTCCTCTTTTTATCTGACATTGCTCTTTGCATTGTTCTTTCTATTGTGGCTAATTTATTCATGTTTGCCTTGGTTAGGGTCCAGGTTTGACATCCATATGTCATGATAGGAAGGATGCATTGGTTGAACACTTTGCTCCTCAAGTATTGGGGTATTTTGCGGTTCTTACGTATCCAACTAAGTTTTCCAAATCCTGCCCATGCTAGTCTTGCTTTTCTAGTAATTTCCGCACTTTGGTTCTCTTTGTCAAGTTTCACGATTTGGCCTAGGAAGATATATTCCTGGACTTATTCTATCTCACTGCCATTTATAGTTATACGTCTGGGATCATCTGTGTTTGTCATTATTTTTGTTTTTTTCATATTCATTTTTAGGCCGACGTATTGGGAGCAGACTGCTAGTTCCCCCATCATAATTTGCAGTTCCTCGAATGTGCTCGCTATAATCACTATGTCGTCAGCGAATCTGAGATGGTTTAAGTTGTTGCCATTAACGTTAATGCCATAGGTTGACCAATTTGTAGTTTTGAAGACATCTTCTAGAGCTAGGTTGAAAAGCTTTGGCGATATGACGTCTCCTTGTCTCATTCCTCTCTTAATGGGGATGGGATTTGTATTTTCGTCTAATTGTACTATCATAGTTGCATTTTCATATATATTATCTATTAGTTGCCTATATCTCGAATCTATTCTACAATTATTAATAGCTTGATTAATATATATATATATATATATATATATATATATATATATATATATATATATATATATATATATATATATATATATATGTATATATATATATATATATATATATATATATATATATATATATATATATATATAATATATTGTTGTAGCCTTTTATTATCAGTATGAAAAATATAGTCGAAACGCCAGTGGATGTTTACATAGTATTGGATTATATGCGAGGAGGAGAATTGACAAACAGAATTTTGTCCAATGAACCGATGACTGAATCAAATGTGAAGTTTTTGTTTTACCAAATGGTTTTGGCTGTCGATTATCTACATACCAAGGGAATTACCCATAGAGATCTTAAGGTAATTTTTTCATATATCCTTAATGAAAGCCGTCTGTGTATTAAAAAAAAAAACAAAAACATTCTGTACAAAAAACGTTTAATTTATTTAATGCTTTCTGATAAAAAATATTTTTGGGCTTTTTTTGCGGGAAGGTGAACTTCCAACCATTGGCCTTGCGATTAGTTTATCCTGATTATAAAAGCCAAATGTACGGGAATTGTAGATGCCTAGAAGTAATATTTTCTAACCTCTGAATTGACATTTCATTATTTGACTTTCTAATTCTTCCATTAATCTACGTCTCAATTAAATATTTTGGTGGAATTCGTAATGGTCACGGTTGTGCAAAGATTCAGCGCACCAACTAAGTGTATCCGGGTAGCTTTCAGTCAGTTCAACTTAATGCACTAATAATACAATAGTGTCGCAACTCAAAAAACCATTAGCAAATAACGAAGTCTGGTTTTCAGTTCGTCGCAAGCTATGTACGAAAATGTTTTTGGTAATCTTCTTCTTCGTAAGAGTTCTTATAAAAGAATGTAAATTGATGTTCGTTTTCAACACGAAACACCTTAATGTCATGCCATTTTATTTTTGAAGTTTTTTCAGATTGTAAAAATTTTCAATAGTCATTTCAGTCACGTTATACAGTTTGCCTGTCTTTTTAGCCGTCTGAATTAATGAATGAATAATATTGTTGTGGGACATACACTGGACCAGATTTTACGAAAAGCTTTACTTGCTTCTCTATGACGCTATGCACATTGTCACCCTCGTTTTGAGAGTGACCGCAAATCAGAAATTTATGGGCTATGCTTTTGACATGCATTTTCTGTACTACGTACGTATGTACTGTAAGGACGTATTTATTTTTTTTTGCTGCCCGCAACAATTATTGGAATAAAATATAAAGTCCAGTTCTCTACCAGGATTAGCCTGTATAATTTTTTCTATATATTTCTCTGTTTACGTCAATTTGTACGTGGTGGTTGTACTTTCGCAAATTCACTGTTTTTTATTTGGGCACCAGGTTCATTATTTGTACTCTCCAGTGACAATAACCACTGTAAAGAGATTTCCTTCTCACAATCTTTAGTATTCGTTGCCATGGCAACAAGTAATCGCCCACGACTGAGATATTAAACCTAAAAATAAATCAAGTAATATTATTAGATTAAGTATAGAGGTAATTGATGCAAGAATGTCACAAAGAGTGTAATTACTCTAAATTTATAAAATAAAGTAGTTTATAGGCTTTCTTAATAACACACTGCTACACATTTTAAATGAGTTATTTTTATCTGGTGATCGAAAAATAGATAATGATTAATAAATGTTTTACAAACAACAACAAAAGTAATTTGAAGTGATGATTCAACAATAATGTAACATGTCAAAAATAATGAACTGAACCAATAATAGTGTCGTTAGTAAAATTATTAATTTAAAAAGTGCTGGTGTAAATCACTAATAGTGTAATAACTAGAAAAACAACTATGTTGTGGTTAGGTTCAAATCATCAAGAATGTAATAACTAATGTATGAAAATTCCATACCTGATTCAGCAATAACGTGGAAACTCGAAATGATGAGCAACGCAACACGTGCGTTCCCGATCACTGTTGGTTGCAACTAAAGATGATGCGATATTGTAAGGGGGTGACGACAGTCATTCAGTCATGAATACCGTCTTATGGTGCCATGTCTTATTCATTTATTGCACTATTAAAACGACAGTTTTATTGACTTGTGGGGATTGAATTTTACGTGTGAATATAGTGTTATGTCGATTTCGACACATTTTGAGTTGCGACACTATTGTATTATTAGCGTTGTATTATTATGTGTGCGATTTCCATGTTTTTATAAGCAATAAAATTCATTCCAAAATTACTGTTACAAACCATTCCAAAAGTAGTTCCGAGAATACTTGTTTTGAACTTTTAATCGCAGATACTACATCCCCGATTCGTTTAAACAGTCGTTTATTTGAGAATAGCTAGAAAAACATCGGATCTAAAAAATTAAATGTATTCTATCAATTTTTCAGCCAGAAAATGTTCTTCTCCACTCCGAAGACGTGGAAACGTTGTTGAAAGTATCCGATTTTGGTTTAAGTAAAGTCACTGAAGAGGACGACATGATGAAAACAATTTGTGGGACGTTGAGTTACATAGCGCCAGAAATTTTAAACAGACAAATCAGGGAATATAACAGACAAGTAGATGTGTGGAGTTTGGGCGTTATTTTATTTTATATGCTCGGAAAGAGACTACCTTTTAAGTAAGTATTCGAATAATATCGTAAACTTGTTATTATTTTAGGTGAACATTTCAGTGATCAGTTCTTGTTTGTTATCTTGCTCCTATTGAATCATCACGTCAATGCCAATCGCCAATGTCCTTAGGGATGGGGCACGTTAAGAAGAAGATTGAATCATATCGTTAAATAGGGTGACATACACATATAAACTGACAGTCATGTTTTATGACCTTATTTTTAGTTATCCTTTTAGTAGTATAGAGGAAATGGTATCTCGTTTTTTCAAGCATTAACTTTTGTAAATGGATGAAGCAATGTTTCGTCTTCGTCGCTATACATTAATTCGTTAAGTAAAATCTATTGATTATAGTAGATTCACTGAGATTGCGAATATTGTGACAAAACCATTGTCGGATACATACAAAATAAAAATTCCTACCACTCTTTATTAATGACTAAAATAAACTTATTACATTCCTGGAATTATTATTCCTTGATAAATATTCCTGGAAATGGTAAGCAGCATTTATATTATACTCGGTTCGCTATTCCGAGTCCGAACTGTCTAGTGAATTTAGTAATTATTTTTTTTGTGAAGTTAGTTACTTTTTGACAGACTAAAAGTGGCTGGAAATTACTATACAACCAAACACACGTACTCATAGCCAATATTAATAGTAAACAAACTAAATAGTAAATAAAATAGAACTTTGCGAATTACCGACAATCATTATTTATTTAGCTGCACCATATAATAAATAGTTATGTTAAATTATAACAACTAAAATATATTTTTTAAATACATACTACCCAAAATTTGATGAGTTTAGTATACACTTCCACTATTTAGAATATTTCTTCTTTTTTAAAAGAAAGAAGTCTGCAATAGTAGTATACTTGTGCTATTAATACTGAGAAGTAGGAATTGTTGTGTTGTAGGTTTCCGACAATGAATCTGTCAAAATGTGCCCAAGCTAAGCGAATGGAGTATACCTAGTTACGGCTTATAGGAATCGATCCTGTGCCAGCGCAATACTGGATATTAGGAGGCAAGACTGTAGCAACTTTTATTGGTTCCTATACTGCGATAAGGAAGGCAATGGGAAACCATCTCCTTATTTTTCACAAGGAAGTTATGATGCTAAATAGACCAAAACCGATAACTCGCAGTCCCCGGCAAAACTTAAATGTTCAGGGAGTGTTAAGAACCACTGGAGGAACATAGTAAATAACAAAAATATAATTAAAGCAAACAATGATCAAGGAGGTAGGGATTTGGAACATCAAAAGCTTATATGAACTTGGAAAGCTAGCAAATGTGTGCCAAAAAAATGGAGAGACTATATATATATACAATCTAGGTTTGAGTAATGTACAATGACCTAGCTTAGGAATAACATAAATTATGAAGAAGACATTTTACTACTTAGGAAACAATGTTCCCATTCAAATCAATGAGGTCGGAATAATAAACGATGAATTGAGTCATGCAGTTTCAAATGTTGTTCTACCCTCCGACAGCAATGTTGTTGCAAATAAGGAGGTCTCCATTTAATGTTAATATTATTCAGGTTTAGGAGGAATACATAAAGATCTACAAAAGCTCATAAAATCAACAAAGATAGAAGATATTAAAATCAGGTGATTTCAATGCGAAAATAGGAAGAAGCAAGTAGGAACGTCCAAAATATCGTAGGAAAATAAGGCCTGGGGGAACGTAATGAAAGAGGAGAAAGACTGTTATGAGTTTTACTAACAAACAATATGATAGTGGCAGCAAATACTTTAAGTTTCCTGTATTTCATCAAGTACAAAAACATATCCCAGTGGTGATGCAAACACCTACCATAATTCAGTAAAAGCCTGAGGTCTTTATGGCATGCCGCCATGTTTAATTTTTTGTCATTGTATACGCTAAATCTTGTCATATGATACCTCATACGTCACGATGGGTCCGATATTAAAAAAAATATGTGTCTAAAGCCCCTTTGGTATGCCGTCATGTTTAATTTTTCTTTGTCATCGAATTATTTTCGTTAAACCTCTTCACATGACACCGCATACGTCACGATCCAACTAGCTGTTATACATCCATCACAAAACGCCCAAAACACGAGCAACCCCATCGACTTAGAATCTATGGAGAAGCTATGAGCATATTAACGTATGTATTAAAAACGGCGTAGGTAGGCGTGGCTAACGATGATACCAATATGGCGGTGAGATCAGGGCCAGACTCAATAATATTAAAACTACTATACAAATATGACTAGTTATTCATAAGATTTATTCATAATCTAAAAAAGTGCAATACATTTTTAATAAACTATGATTTATTTATCCCGTGGTAAACACTAAAAACACCATATATTATACATAAAGATAAATTAATACAGTCAAATACTATTAATTTATTCTCTGAAGTACGGGCCATTACTTTGTTTACATATTTGTATACTAACCTGTGGAACGATATTCCTGAAGATTTTTTATTAACATTGCTTCTGCTACTGTAACTACATTGAGAACAAGAAACCATTATTATGCACTATCACAATATAGTATTACACTTTCTATAAAAGTATTATAAAACTGAAAATATTCGAAAAACAACAAATGTAAACAAACATACGATCTGTCAAAAGTGTCAAAACAAACTTAACAATATGGCCGAAGTGAGGTCGTTTCTAGTCACGTGATGCCCTCTCCATAGATTCGAACCTGATGAGCAACCCTTTGCAGCCTATTTACTGATAAAATAATGAGGGGAATAAAAATAACTGTCCGGCTACGTAATATTAAAAACTGGGTAGGAATAGGCTTTGAAGAACTTAGAAGGCGTACAGCTGAAGACAGAAAAATGCTTGCTACCATAACTGCTAACCTCCATTGATGGAAATAGCATGTGAAGAAGGAAACGACTATTGTAGACTCTGTAATTAGACAAAGAAGAATAATCACTAATTATGTCTTTGTTTTATTGTTTTAATTGATGTTTTATTTTTGTTAAGAATGGTCATGTGAATAATTTTTTACTTTAAGTTACAATTTTATTATAGTGTATGAGCACGTGTGTTTGGTTGTACAGTAATTACCAGTCACTGCTAGTCATCAAAATTTGCGCAACATAGCACAACATTAATCACTAAATTTACTAGACAGTTGATATAGTTCAGTGAGTAGGATATACCACAGTTTAATGTGATAAGTCTTGTTGCTGTAGGGACGACCCAACAGCTTTTCAGCGATCGTGATTGGCCGGTCGCATTAAGGATATAATGCCATATATAGCACTGTACACTGGACATAATCCCCGTTACTCAACCAACTTTAGACCTGGCTGACAGCCAGGTGGTTAGCAAGGGCTTTTGCTAGAAAATTTTAATATTGTCTTTGTCAAATATTAAAATTTTTCTGATAATTCCTTAGATATGAGAGGTATCCTGTTTTATACAAATGTAACTCCTAAAAACATAATGTTTAGTCATTTTTCGTTTTGGTTTTGGTTTTCATTAAAAAATAAACAGTAAAAAAATGTAACAATTCATTATTTCAAATTGTAAAACTGCGATTAAGCCCCGGTGGTTAAAAGACCAGAAGCATATCTAACTTTAGTCTAGTCCTTCATTTTTACTGTCTATAATATGCTTTGGTTTCTACGATCACTTGTACTGGACAAGTCTCTAAGCACACCATGATATTGTTTTAGATCTCCAGACAGATCGATTTTGGAAAAAATTATAATTAATGGTTATTACACGTTTGAAGATGAAAAATGGGAAGAAATCTCATCAGATGCCAAAGAACTTGTTAAAGAAATGCTTACAGTCGAACCTGAAAATCGAATCACTGTAACAAATATACTGAAACATCAGTGGTTATCAAAAGTAAGTAACTTGTGTTTTCAAGACAAAAATAAAAATAGGCTCAACTAGCTGTTATTAAAGAAATTAGTATACCATCAATCTTAGATCATCAATATTGGTGACAAAGTCAGATATATCTGTTATTGTAGGATTAACCAAAAAAAGTTATTTGGTATTAATGAATTTGTATTTTGACTTACCTTGTATTGGATTTAAAAAGTTTTAGCAAAATCAATCAATTTTATAAATGTTAACAATCATTTAAAAAGTATGGCTACAACAGGTCGTTGCTTTTGTCCTCCTTCTCAATCTTTTCTCCTTCGTAAGGATGTAGTGGCGTCATCTAATTTGTTTGACTATTTCTGTCCAATTAACTCTCTCCTGTGCGTGTTGTTTTGATTCGGAGAATGAGTAACCAGTCATCTCCTTTATTTGCTCCGACCATCGTAATGAAGATCTTCCTCTGGATCTTTTATCCGCTATGTTACCTTCAACTATCATTCGCTCCATGCCTTCTCTTCTTCTAGTTATATGTCCAAAATATCTCAGTATATTTTGGTTGATAGTTGTTGAGTTGATGAGTCAAGTCAAGTCTAGTTGTACACATATTCTTTTAATACCATTATTTTTGTCCCTTCTGCATAAGTGTCTGATAGTTGGGTTTATGGTGCATATCTCTATTTCTTTTTTTTTTTTTAATAATCATGAATGTGTTGCTTGTGTGAGTCCATATCAAATAGGTAAAGAAATAATAATAAGACTTACTCACAATCAATTTAATTTAACAATCTGACGACCGGTTTCGCTTTCTATAATTTGCAAAGCATCTTCAGGTCGAGATACAAAGTTAAACTAATGCTGCAATAAAATAAACCCAATTAGGGTGGTGTCTCATAAAGATAAAATAAACAAATAAATAAATTAGATTTTAATTTTATGTTGAAGATATTTATGTTATTTACTTCTCAGTTTGTTTTAAATCTTCATAAAATTAAAATCCAGCACACCATGATGGATCGAATTTCGTGTTCACAGAATTTCTCCTCTTTTCTTTTCTTCAACATATCACCAATAAAATAAATTTTTCCTAAAACTAAATTAAACATCAGTAATGAACTGGTATGGTACCTCAACTTATTTAACCCATAATAATTATTATTGCATTCCATCTGGTTTCGACAATTTACTTAATTTACAACAATTTCATTTCAAACTCAACACGTGGTTTATGGATTTCCAACATGACTGAAAATTGTTCAGACTAGCTATTCGGATTACATATATCTATACTATTCATAATCCTGTATAGATTTAAAATTTAAATAGAAACATTACCTTTCAAAAACAGATTTTAATTTTAATCAAAAATTTTTAAAAATTCTTACTAAAACTACTGTAAAAAACTCACCAGTGTTCTTGTCGGTTTGAGGAATGTCTGTTCGTATGAGACAAAGAATTGAAATAAAATATATTTTACACCGGTTTAAATGTGTACCTGCTGCCCGGGGATGGAATCAATTTCCGGTTCCAATTGTCATAAATTAGTATTGCCAACTAATTATTCAAGATTTAAGTCAGTCAATTACTCGAATTCAAAATTTAAATAATCATCAATATTCACCCAATTACTACTTTATTTAATTATTAATTATTACAATTTAAATAAAAATATTTTAAGAAATGTTCATACACCATAATAGACAGCTCAGACCGACAATCATTTCAAATAAAAAATTCTCAGGCAATTTGTAAAATTGTTATATCTTTCAATTACAAGTACACTTGTTTGTATTTACTAAATAATCATTTTAATTTGTTCTGAAATATTTAGACTAAAATTGGTTAGTTATAACAAATGATGTATTTCAATTATTCACATTGTTACCATAAAAATTTTTTGAATTTGAAACTTACTAATTAAAATTGTTAAAGTATGCCAATATTAAAACATCAATTTACTTTTGATTTCTAAATTAAAACAAATTTTGATACATTCATTAATATCAACATACTCCATAATACTGAATAACTAAACTTACAGTATTTAGTAAGAGAAGAAGAACTGTCACACTTCAACCTACATATGTCAAATTTACCATAGATAAATAACATAGTATATACAGATAGATAGGCAACTCTATATATAAATTTGGTTTATTAGCACCACTGGTGAGTGGAGTCAATACTAATCACCATTTGGCGGGAAATTCAAATGGTTAAGTATTAATTTTATCGCTTTAGCGCCTCTAGTGGGTCATTTCGGTACTAATTAAAATTTAGTGGGAAATTCAAAATATTTTATTTAATAATCTCACATATCGTGAGTGATATGACAATACCTATCTGCTTTTTCACAAGTTTTGTAGGGAGACGAAAATCTTTATTTATAGGAACTATAACTAAACTTTAAAAACTAAGGAATCAAATAAAACTAAACTGAAAAAACTAAAGAATCAACTAACCGAACTTAAAAAACTAAGGAACCAACTTAAATTAAAATTATCAAGATTAAATTACAAACGAAAGTTAAAGATAATTAAATTAAAAATGAAAACTAAGGTATCAACTAACTAAACTTTAAAAACTAAGGAACCAACTTAAATTACTAAGACTAAATACAAACGAAAGTTAAAGATAATTAAATTAAAAATGAAAACTGTAAACAAGCCAAAGCACGTGGAAGACGAAAATGGACGAAACTCGAAAATATACAAATAGATTCCACCGAACTTCTAACTCGATGACAAATATCAATCATCAACTTGTTATTACTTTTGACGGAATTGACATGGCGGAATTAAGCTTCGTTTGATTATTTTATTTGTGACATTCAGAGATGGTGTTAAAATAAAATGATTGGTTAAAGTCTTCGTGAGCGAGATAGGCTGTCATCTCTCTTTATTAACCGACTGGAGTCAAAGTGATGGGGGAAATGTTCAAGGTTATTCATATAAGATTCCAGGCCATGAAATTTACCTCTTAAATCTAATAGATTAAATATGAAAAAACTCATTTCTTCCAACAAGTGAGATGTAGTGCTAACAGTTTCTTCCATCCCCAAGTTTAAGTTTTAAATTCAATGTTTGTCCCGTCATTTAGTGTTTCTGTTCCTGTTAATGTGTGTTTAATTTGTCCCTGATCATTCTTAAGTTATAATAATTTTATATACTTTTTATATACCTTTTTACATAGTTGACTTTACAATACTTTAATAATTTTGCCAATAGACTTGATAATTGCAAGTCAAAAATTGCACAACCACACAATCGGTACAGCTACTCTTATTCATTGTCATAAAACTGTCTCCTTCATTACATAAATACTCAATAAATAACACACATTCCAAAAAATATATCTCTGTTATAAGTGTAAATAATTTAAATAATACAATAGTAAAGAACATCACTTTCATCTGACAAACAACAACAATATACCTATCTCTAATTCATTGGATCAAATCTGTTCTCCTCAAGAACTTCCCGTTTATTGTCAAAACAACTGCAATAGCTCATTAAAGTTCCCCAATCAACAATACATGATTTTTGCAACCATGACCTACCATCCATCAATTAATAGAGTACCGGCATGTAAGTAATGTTTGTTTTGTTTTGTTTTATTTATTTGCTCATTTATTAATTTATTACAACATAAGATTGCTACTTTATACCAATTGTGGGCCTTACCTTGTCTGTTACTACCTTTTATATATTCAAATTATTCATTTTGAAAACCACAGACATGTAATATTGGCATAATTACTATAATTTGTATGAACTAATTTATTTATTTGTTTATTTTATCTTTATGAGACACCACCCTAATTGGGTTTATTTTATTGCAGCATTAGTTTAACTTTGTATCTCGACCTGAAGATGCTTTGCAAATTATAGAAAGCGAAACCGGTCGTCAGATTGTTAAATTAAATTGATTGTGAGTAAGTCTTATTATTATTTCTTTACCTATTTTTTTTTTAATTTGATGTGCCGTTTCTTGACGAAACTTGAAGTTTTCATCTTTCTTCTACAAGATTGAGAGTCTCTTCAGTCATCAATGTTTTTTTCCAGCTGTTTTGTCTTTGGGATTAGTATTGTTGATGGCTTCAGTTATCCATTTCTTTGTGTACTCGAACGTTTTGTCAGGGTCTCTGGTAGTCACTGGTATGTCAGCTTCTACTAATGCTTCTCTAACACTAACGCTTCGGGTGTTCTGGAATCAATTTTGTCTTTTAATTATGATTGTTTTACTGTGTAACTTAATGTGAAATTCTGCCTGTAACATTTTGGCTGGTTTAGCCTTTTTTGAGTTATTTTGATTATTCAATCATTTACTGGAAGGTATTCATGTACATATTTTGCTTTTGTACCCCTTTTCAATTATACAGGGGTTGAACTTACGATTTTCATTGAAATTTAGTTATTTTTTAAATACTTTTAAATGACTTTTTAAATACTCTATATAATAGAAAACAAATTATTGTAATGAGGAAGTGAACTATTTTTACATTTAAAATAAAACACAGAGATGTCTTTGATGTAGTATAGTATTATGGAAGACCCTGTATATTTAACATACTTTGTCACAAAAATTGATCACCCTGTACACTTATGATGTTTTATATTAATGTTAGTATCACTAACATTGCCATCCAGTTTTTATTTATTTTTAACTTAATACTCAGAAAAAAAAGTTTCACTGTATTTACATAATCGTGGCATATTTCACATCTCTGCCGCTGTTTTCAATGTTTGTACCATTCGCTGTAGGTTATGTTCTTTATTTGAGATCATGATTACGTCGTTAAAATTTTAGTTTACCCTAGAATGTGAAGAAGCTACAAAAACAAGTCTTTGTAAGTAAATACAGTGATTTTTTTAATAACATCCTGTAATGTAATTACAGGATATTTTTCATTTGTTCTTAAGTAAACGGCTACTCATTTTTATATTTATAATTTTTATTTATTTAATATTTGATAACTTTTCTTTATTTACACATAATGATACATATTCGATCTGTTATATTTATTCATATTTATTAGTTCTCTTATATATATTATAATATACATGTTTTTACAGGATCTTAATATGAAGATCAGAGTCAACCAACTGTATCACTCACATCTGGAGACTGCTGAAGAAAATGTAACGCCGTTTGACAATGAACCATCGGCTAAACGAATCAGATCGTCATCTGACGAATCAAGTTCCTCTCAGTAATTGTTTAATTGTTTATTACCATAATTTGTATGGTTTTTCTGTTATACTGTATTGCGTTTTGTGCAATCCCGTGAATATTAGTGTCATATAATTTTTGTGATATATATTTATATAAGTATGCATTAACTAGCTCACATTTTCGAATGATACATTTGCTGGATTTGGATGTACTTCAAATAACTGCAGAGAACGGAAACTATACAATAGGTAGATGGTCTGAAAAATTCTTGGCCAGATAGAAAAAATAATTTATGCGTCCAAAGAAATGTTATTTTTCAGCATATTCTCGTCTAATATCAACACATTTCATCCGTTCATCAGTGTTCTAATTCCGTTAAAACCTTTCTGTAGTCTCACTCTGGAAGTGCTGCAAAGTACTCATCTACCTGTACTAGTGGGTGGATGTTCCAGCTTTTATAATGTAGATCACTCGATTTTTTTAATTTTTAAACCACGCGCACTCATACTTTTTTATAGCACTGTTTACTGCTGCCTGGAATGCTTGCAGTTTTACATGGTGTCTACTAGTACTCCATGATATATCGTTACGTTGGAAGATTTTCATATAGAATATTCTTCTATAAAAATATAAAACTTTACCCATAACTGCAAACAGGTTAATATATTAGCTTTGGTGTATACTTGCCTGTAGAACGCTATAGTCAATCTCATACTTCGTTAATCATATTTTAGGCTATAAAATTTTTGAGTTGTGACACTCTTTAAAAAAAGTGTTCGGTGGTTGGAAATAATTCACTTCTTTATTAAAATTGTTTTGCGGATTTTTTTTACAAGGGCATATTTGTCACATATAAGAACCAAGACGATATAATGTTAAAACAAAAAAATACTATCATTCTGCAATAAATTATAATTAAAAAAAACTTATGTTGATTTGAAAATTCAATCTTTAACTTTCCATATTACACGGTCTTCATTGTCTTTGACAAGTCTACTCGTAAATCCTAGAGATATTTTTATACTGTGAAATAATACCAACTAGATTTATTATTATTTTTTTAGAACGTCGTAAGTCAAAATAATTTGGATAGTTCAGTTCAAAAATTCAAAAAGTTCTAATATTTTTCTAAAATACTGACATGACTCAAAAGAATACTCCTACTTATTTTGAACATAACGTCAACTCTTTACAAAACTGACACAACTCAAAATAATGCATTATTCTTCACAGAAAGTATTGTATTATCTTATTATGTCTTTGAGATAGGATGGCATATCTCAATATATGACAATACACACAAAAAAATACAGAATATTTGAAATATTTTCATTCACAGAGTTAATTTTTCACTTTTTTGAGATATGACAAGTCTTTTTCCAAAATAGCTATACCTGCAATACGTAACACATGTCAAGAACTTATTGGCCGGCGTAGTATCTTTGATATAATTTTTTATACTATTTTTCAATGTTGATTTTGAGTGATTTAATTTATGGTACATAATTTATGAAACTTGATTTGCAGACCGTTCTGTAGATTTCCGGTGGTAGATATTATTGTGAGATCTTTAATTTTTCCGAAAATATTGCTAACTTCGTTGTATTGAATGGATCCCTCGTTTGCTTTATCTACATTATATTTATTAAGAAACATATGAGGGTATTAAACCGAAAGTGGTGTAAGTCATGTTTTGTGAATGATGTGGATTATCAGAAACAGAAGGCTTTGTTAGAATCTGTATAATAAATTACACAATAGATTGTTAGCACTTTTTTGTTGTACATTGCCAGAAGATATATTTTTCTAAATGTGGTAATATTTGCAATTCATTTATGTAGTTTTGTTGTTTTATTTTACAGGGTTAAAGTGACTTACTCAAAGTTTTACTTAAATTACTACACTAATACAATCATAAAGTTCTTTCTTTGCCATAAAACATCTCAATCATGTTCAATATCAAGTAATCCAGTGGGCCTATATCTTGTGTTTCTATTGTTTCAACAAGTCCATGAAAGTAAGTATGGTCGATAGGTGGAATGTATGAAAGCAAATCTAACATACCCCTCTTATTTTTCTTAGTCACAGGTCTTGGTCCAGGGTATAAATTTTCTAGATCAATTTCTCTGAATGAAATTGGCCTTCCTAGCTTTGCTTACTTGAGACATAGAGCCGAAAATGCAAAGGACTCGTTAAGAGTTTCCTTATAATATAACTTAAATGGTTCTTTCTTCACCAATCCAATCCATTGTATTTTTTTTTTCAATATATTTTTTTCAATCCATTTTTTTCCTCTTTGTAATTGCTACTTAAAGATTCTTTGTAGACTTGCAGTCTTGGCCTGACATTTGTGTTACAAAAAAGCTTTTTTCTTTCTTGACTTTGCGATTATGGAGCGCCAATCTCCGGAACATAAATTACCTTACCTCTTTCTTAAGATTCTATGGATCTAAAATCAGAATCATTAGGGAGATAAGAGTGACCACTTACCATAAATCTATGGTCAATAATTTTGACAGTATCACTGCTTGAAGCCATCTCATAAGACACAATTCAAACTGCCAATTTCGATTCTGACCCGTGCAAGTGTCACTATACATGGAAAAATATTTTTATGCTGATGCTCTTTCAGTAATATATTTTGTAACACAAGAACTTGTCTCTTGCGAACCACGTGAAGCAATTGTCTTATCCCATGTGTACATAAAGCCGTGACATCCTAGATTGTATACGTACATGTTTCTTTTATAATAAGCCACAGAAGTGGTTAGAACTGGAAAAGGTAGAGCTTTGTACAATTCAAAAGTGAAGGCATAAAATAATTTATCTTGCTTTGACTTTTCTGCATCTAATTTCATAGATTTTCGAGCAGCCTTTAACTTTCGAAGATGAAATTCATGGTGTACTTCCAAGTTGTGTTTTGTTGTTCTATCTTTCAAAATGGACATTTCTATTTTTGCTTGTCTTATTTCGAACAGGTATCTTTACGTGCCACATAAAAGTGCAAGTTGAAGTCATTGTTGAACCCTCTACTGTAAATTGACTCTTTATCAGATAAAACATTTTCCTCTGTGTAGTACTCCTTATATAAGTTATACATAAGACGTGTATTAAGGTCAAGAGGTAAACATTTTCTGTTTGGGTTTTGAGCTTTAGTATAATGAGACTGGTATGAGGGGAATGATGAAATATGTTTCCGAACAACACTGATTTTTTCATCAGTGATTTTATTTATGGGTATGATTCCTCATTTGCCTGATCCTAGTTGATCTCCTATTTTCAATTTTTTAAGTGCTCTCGTTATCCGGCCAATCTAAAATTTGAAAAGTTTGAAGGAAATACTTTTTGCATACTTTAACAGTAGTTCACCAACTTGGATGTAAAATTTGTTGTATGTTGACTTAGGCAATCTTGATCCAGTTTTAGGGCGCCTAAATTTAGGCGCCAATTCTTTAATCAACCCACATTACAAACATTCTGACAAGAAAATGACCTTAATTTCCAAAATGTTATAAATGAATTCTTGCATGACTCTTCTGATATCTTTTCTACGCATTTCAACCTGCAGTTACAATTACAGTTTAACTTTACCTGAAGAGTCAGACATTTCAAATTTTGAAGGTTAGTAATCATCACTAGATCCTGCATTTTGAAATATACTGGGTTAATAGTTGCAGGAATAGTGGTGTATGTCTGACTTGCACCACAATGTCTTCTACAACTATTTATTCATTAGTAAAATTGTTACTGCCATCTATGAAGGTATAGATAAAGTTAAAAGGTACATCACTTTTCCTTCTAAAAGATCTGTATCTCAAGATTATAAAGCACGACTTTCACATCAAAATTTAAAAAAATATGACTCCACTTTGACTTTAACACCCTCATATATCTAGACAAATTATAGTTCATGCTCAGAAGTTTGTGCATCTACGTTCAAAAATCAAAGCATGCAACCATCTCTAAACGCACTTTCTCTTGTATAATTTTTTTTATCAAATCATCTTTATATGTGTAATCATTTTTTTAGATTACTTCCTTTGCCTTTTACTATTTTTTAGAATATTTTTGTTCATCTATGCATTACTTTATCTTCGTTCTCCAACCTGACTGTGCATTGTTTAGGATGTTCTCTATTTTTTATACTCTTTATTTAGTGGCCTATATATTGTGCCTTCTATCATTATAGTTGTATATTTTTATATGACATTTTAAAGTAATATAAAGTAAAGTAATATAAGTAATATAAAAGCTTAATTAATTAATTGTTCCCATTATAGAGCCCAGTAGGCTCTCAAGCTTTTTTTATTCCTTTCTTCGTTTACATTTTCATCTCGTGATTTTTTCTAAGGCTCCAGAGTATGTAGTATATGGAACGCTTCATAGTATTGATAGTTTCAATTAAGGTTTTGAATAATCGAAATTTTTCAAAGCGCGAGCGGCAGTGAGCGTGTTAATGTTTAAAATTATTATTCATTATTTTAATCTAAGAATTAGATATAGTTATACAACTTTTCCGTCGGCTGTCTTTTTAATAAAGTAAAAATATCTTATCCTAAATTGTTAGGTTTGAATTAAGAGCGTAGGCGCAAAATTTCGGGCCAATGCTTTTTAAATGCATTGAATATTCGGGCCGATAAATATTTTTGAAAACAGAATGAAAGAATACATTATTACCGAGGGCCGAAAGTCCCTAAAAACTTCTATAATGTTTATTTTAATAAGTTACAGGGGTGAAAAAAAGAGAAAATTTAGTGTGATTTTTAATTTCAAATATCTCATTCACAAAAACTTTTTGTTTATTCCAAGGGACTTTTGGCCCTTGGTAATAATGTAATCTTTCATTCTGCGTTTAAATTTTTCAAGAATATTTGTTGGTTTTATCAGGATTCGAAAAAAAAATGAATGCATTTAAAAAGCATTTGAAAAGCCTGAAATGTTGCGCCTACGCAATCGATGTCACTTGATGTGTTTTTGTAAGGTTTGTTAATGTAAATACTGATGTTAATTGTATAATTACAAAACTGGCAGGAACGTATCG